AAGTCCAGAACCAGGTACAGCTGCAGACCACATGACTTGAAAATTAATGTTTACTTTGAAACTACTACATGTGTCATGTGACATGGACATTCCCTTGCCGTCGTCTCCTCCCTCCTCTGTTTCTGTTTTAACAAGTTTGGTTTGACACTCAGTGTGTTTTTGAGTGAAGCATCTTGGTACTTGTAGTGCACTGCATGTTGTTGTACTTGTCAATTTGAACACACTCAAAACAGTGTGAGTGTGGACGTCTGTGAACTGAGACACATCAGACAGGAGTCATTTCAAAGTAAAACAGGAAATAAGTGACAGTGACAGAGCAGACTTCTTTCATGAGTCAGTGATAATAAAAATCAGACGAAGTTCCAAGAGTTTAATGAAGTTTAATTAACGATGAAGATGACACACACACACGCACATGTCTGACTGCTGCACCTGTGTCTCTGCAGAGCTGGGACTTCCCTTCACACCTGGTCTTCTTCCACCTGGACAACTTCCTGCAACGTCTGCAAGGCATCCAGGTACGCACGCACGCATGCACGCACACACACGCACACAAGGTTTGGTTTGTTAAACCCCCACCCCCCTGCAGGAGGCGTTCTCTGTCAGTCTGCAGCTGTATCAGTTGGATCAGGCCGTACTGTCCGGGGTCAGCGGCAGCATGTGGACCGATGTCGTTCAGGACCTGTATCAGGACTTCCTGCGTCACGTGACGATCCTGTCTCACTGTAACTGTGACCCCACCAACCCTAACGACAAGGTGACAGTCAGCTGATCTGTGTAAGGTACTTCCTGTTTGACTAAGCCGTGTGTGACTCCTCCTTCCTCGTCTTCCTCTCAGAGCTTCGAGTTGCTCCTGGATCAGTTCCAGGTTCAGGTGTCAGACCTGGAAAGACGCCTGGTGTCGGTTCTAAGGGGAGCCCTGGAGAACTGCAGGGTCTCGTCCTCTGCAGCAAAGGTATGAGTCTGGACCTGAAACACTGTCCAGGAGCTGAGGGGGAGGAGCTCTGAGTCTGATCCGGTCTGTGTTTCAGCTGGTCAGCATGTTCAGGTCCGTCCTGGACCGGCCTTGGATCCAGGATCAGCTGCGTCCTCACCTGGTCCGGCTGGTGGAGATGGTCCTGACGGAGCTGGATCAGATAGCGATGCTGTTCTTCAGTCAGAGAGAGAGATCCGACACCATCAGCAGGTTCAGTCCAGCTGCTGCAGCTGGACTCTGCTGGACTCAGCAGCTTCAACTCAGAGCTGAAGACTCAGTGAGGAACTACATGACGGTCCAGCACTTGTAAGACTGCGCTGACCACACACCGGTCTGGACCCATCTCCACTTGGGATCTGACTTGGGACTTGATGGTCTCTGTGTTGTGTTCAGGTGTTCGGGCTCAGCTGAGTCCCATCTGGTCCTGCAGAGGTTCCAGCAGATTGTGGAACTACTGCAGGACTCCAGAGACGGAGTGAGGTCAGACTGGAGCTCTCAGTTGGACTCAGAGTGTGGATTGATCCTGGAACAACCTCTGATACACCTCGACCAGCAAGGCATGCTGGGAGTTAACAGCCGCCAAAAGGTGAGTTTGTTTTTTCATGTTTAATGTTGCTAATAAAAAAAAAAACACAGAGCAAGATACTAAGTCTGTCTGTCTGTGTGTCTGACTGACTGACTGACTGACTGACCAGCTGGAGGCCGTGCTGAGGCAGCTCAGGTATGTGTGCAGGGAGAGAGACATGGAGCTCCGCCCCCACGCTGCTCAATTCTTCACCTGCAGAGATGACATCACAGAGACCTACCTGAGCCTGAGTCACATGGTGTCCTGCTACAACCAGGTACACACACACACACACACACAGGTGGACCCAGGTGAGTTTATCTCTACAGCATCTCAACATCAAAGTAACGACACATAAAACTTTTATTAGAAGAGTCAAAAGAAAAAAATGATTCACAGCGACACAAACTTTTCTTTAATGGACCACTGATCTGTGTTCGTCATTAACTGATCGATCGTCTCTAATGACGATGAGTCAAACAGAATGAGACTCTTTAACAGCTGAGCTCAGGTGAAGGTAAAGGTCATGTGACAGACGGCCGTCCTCCTTCAGGTGGTGAGTGATGTCCTGCAGGTGGAGCTTCCTCTGATCCAGGACCAGTTGCAGGACCTGAACCAGACTCTGTCAGAGCTGCAGAGGAACACCTGGGGCTCTGCAGGTGAGACGTCACATGACACATCATACAGATGAGGAAAGCTTTAACTGGCTCACAGGTACCAGACCATCATGCACTGCAGCACCTGGCTCCAACACCTGCTTCCGCCGTGATCTCATGGGACAGAAGAGTCCATCTTTAGAGCCGATGTCATAACATCCAAAGCTCTGTCTGAACACACCTGGACAGGTGTGTGTATTTATCTGTGTGTTTGTGTGTATGTGTGTGTGTGTGTGTGTACAGCTGTGCAGCAGCTGGTGGAGCAGCAGACACACAAAGTGCTGATGTTTCACTCCTCAGTGAGTGAGGCCAGAGCCAACATGGACGCCATGACACACATCATCCAGGTGAGTCAGCTGACCTCTGACCTGTGATCAGTGTGACAGTACAGGTGTTTCTGTTCAGATCCACTGTGTGAATATAACGTGTGCAGCAGCTCATGGTGTGTTAATGTGTGTGTGCAGGGATGGGTGGAGCTTCACCTGCTGCAGCGCTCAGGTGAGTCACTGCTGGAGAGTGGAGCCACACGAAGCAGCTACGGACGCATGAGAGATGAGGGACAGGAGCTGCTCAGGTTAACACAGGTAACACATGAGGAGGGGCAGGGGTGGGAGGAGGAAGAGGAGAAGGACAGGTGTTGATGAGACTCCTCCTTGTCCTCAGGTGAACAGGAGTCTGTACGGAGCTGCTGAGTCCTCTGAGTGCTGGATCAGGTATTTGGACCACATCGATGACAAAGTCCAGGATGGACTGTTCCAGCTGCTGCTCAGATCACTTCACTTCCTGTCTGATAACACTGACCCACAGGTACACACACCTGTACACACCTGATGCCTGCATCAGACTGAACACCTGACAGGCCAACACTTATGACAAGAGTGTGTGTGTGCGCGTGTGTGCGTGTGTGTAGAGCTGCCATGCTGCTTTGCTGGCGGTCTCTCTGCAGCTGCAGGAAACAGGAAGTGTGTTTGAGCCATCAGTGGGCGGTGGCCTCTCTGACCTCCTGACGACCATCATCAGTGACATTTACACAGCAGCCAGTCTTCCGCCCAGGATCTCTGTGGGTCGTCATGACAACTACCAGGTGACTCTGACATCACTCTGACATTACACATTGAGCCCTGTCCAGGCTGCTGTTACAGGCTTTAAGGAACCAAACTAAACATGTCCATCTCCCTGTACCTGTCTCTCAGGTGTTCTTGCAACAGAGTCTGGAGCTCTCTGCATTGGAACAGGAAGTCATGCAGCATCTGCTACAGGTGAGGGAGGAGGCGGAACGTCTGAGGACTGGGTTAGACAAGTACTCTCACCTGTGGCAGAGTGACAGACAGGTAGTGATACAGGAGTTCCTGACCTACAGCAGACAGCTGGGACCTGAGGAGCTAGAGGCTGAGGAGACCCCGCCCACCCTGAAGGACTTCCAGAGAGAGGTGAGACACACCTGACCTCACCTGTCTGCAGGTTTAAAGCGTTTCAGGTTTACAGTGATCCAGGTCCTGTCGACACCCCCTGCTGTTTGTTAGCGTCTGTTTTGTGTTTCAGATCGACTTGCTTCACAGAGTGAGCAGAGAGGTGACTCACCTGGATGAGGTCATTGTGCTGCACGGCTGGCTGCAGGTCGACCTGCAACCCTTCAGAGACTCACTGCTGTCAATCATCCATGACTGGAGAAACATGTACACAGACTTCCTACTGGACTCAGTCAGTGACAGGTAAACGAACCTGAGACCTACTGGACTCAGTCAGTGACAGGTAAACGAACCTGAGACCTACTGGACTCAGTCAGTGACAGGTACACTCACATCTGTGTGTCTGTGTGTTCAGTTTGCAGCAGGTGACTCAGCGTGGTGGTGATGAAGAGTCTTCATCTTCCTCCCGTTTCCCTCTGACAGAAACTATCATCCTGTTGGAAGCTGCAGGTGTGGAGCTGCCTGAACACCTGTCAGCACAGCTACAGGTATGACCTCACTCTGACCTGTGATCATTAGTGCTCACAGGATCATTAATAAAGTTGATAAGAAATCACTCCGTCGTCTAAAGTAGTGTCACACGTCTGAGGGGAGGAGTCAATCTACACAGGTTAAACACCTGGGCCCTAGGGACTGTCACTGATCTGAGATCTGTTTGTCTGGGTCTGACAGGTGAACTGTTGTTTGTGTTTCAGTGTTGATGAAGGAGGAGCCTGTCAGCTGAGGGAAGAGGCTGAAGACATCACCTATAAAATGACATCATCTGTTCTAATTATTAAAGTGTATTAACAAGCTCTGCAGAGTGAACCACTGACTAATGAAAATAAACCCGTGCAGTCAGTGTGAAGGTCTGAATGTCTTCTGTCCAGTCACCTGATCAGGTCACATGATCCACCTGATCTTGCTATAAGTTCTGACACAAAGAAAACATGAGTCAACCTGCAGTGGAACCCTTACTGTCAGCTGACCTCAGGTCTGTATGTGTCCTGTGTCCAGGTAACCAGGTGTGATCCTGATCCGCTCCTTAATGCAGGTTCTGGTCTTCAGTCTGTTGAACTGTGTTTCTGTTAGTGAGCCTGTCCTCACTGATGTGGACAAAATAATAGAAACACCTGTCAGTACAACACATTGAAGAACTACCTGCATCATCTGGACCCCTCCACCCAGAGAACACCTGTGTATAATACATGGTATACATCTGTTCAAACTGAGGTGTGGAACATTCCACCTCCTCTACAGACCCTCATTACTGACACCACTGATGGTGCTGTCTCCTCTACTACTGGTTCTACTGGTTCTGTATGCTGGTTCCACTCTGTTCAGACACAAAGAACGACAGATTAAATAAATGATTTAATAGAATTTCTCTTTCTTCAAAAGCTGCAATTTACACTAATGACTTTCATCCCCTGTTCACAGACAGACAGACAGGTAAGCAGACAGGTGAGCAGACAGACAGGCAGACAGGTGAACAGAGAGAGACAGACAGACAGGTGTTACAGTCTGGCAGTTGACAGAAACCAGAAAGTAAAAGAGGCACGATGATGAAACCTACAGAAACGTGATCTAAAAAAAATTAAAAGTTCTTGTGTCCTTGTTTACACTGTGCATTTCCATGGCAACAGAAATTAAAACATACATTAACTCTATCAACGTCTGTTTCCTCCCACAGGTCCAAGTCCCAGCTCTGAGATCAGCGGTTGAGGAGAGAGAGCTCCGCCCCCGGCTGCTGACACCACCACAGTAACCAATCAGAGAGCAGCTAGCGGCGGTAGACTCCGAAGGCCACCAGGCTGAGGAAGATGGTGACTCCGACCAGTGAGGCGGTGGCCGGGGCCGTGAAGAACTGCCGGTACTGGATCTGACAGTACCACAGCACCGACAGCATGAGTACCAGCAGGGGGACCATCAGGCTGCCCACGTTCAGAGCCACCTGCACCTGGTCTGCCGGCCGCGGCCCACCTGCTGCCCCCCGCCCGCTGTGCTGAGAGATGTGACAGTGCAGGACACAGTTGTGGACCAGGTTCAGAGAGGCCAGAGTCTGAGCATCGTCCTGCAGCAGCTGGCCCTGATAGATCAACCGCACTTGCTGCTCCTGCCCAGCAAAGTAGGTCCTGAAAGGTCAGAGGTCAGATGTCAACTCACACTGATCAGGTCAACAGAACACTGAGAAGCCAGAACATCCTGACCACTCAGAACCACGCTGACCGTCAGCTGGTCCTTGTAGTCCAACAAGGACCAGACCCCTGGGCTGGATCAGGGCTGGGGGGGTTCAGGTCTTGGTGGGTGGGACAGGTGGTCATGATGTTCTGGTTCTTCACTGTAAACAAAGAAACGATGATTCAACCTCAAACCTCCACAAGTCCAGAGACCAGAGTCCGAGTCAGGCTCAGGACCTGGACTGAACAAGGTCAGCTGGAGCAGTGAGGCCAGAAGTTCTGATGTTTATGAATGGTTCTACAGAGAGAGGCTAGTCAACCTGTAGCTGATCCCAGAGCAGGTGAGGCCTGTCAGTGAGAACAGGGTTCTTACTGGTCTCTGACTGGACCAGCTGAGTCACATGACCTGTTTGATTTACATACAGGATGTGACCTGTCTGATGTCACCGACTGTCATCATGTGACTCACCTGTAACAGAACCTCACACACAACACGTCACCAGATGAGTCCTGATGAACACTTTCACTATGGATGTATCCTGTAGTAGTACTAGACTAGTATTGCAGTAGTAGTAGTATTACAGTAGTACGAGACTAGTATTGCAGTAGTAGTAGTATTACAGTAGTACTGCAGTAGTACTAGACTAATATTGCAGTAGTAGTAGTATTACAGTAGTACTGCAGTAGTACTAGACTAATATTGCAGTAGTAGTAGTATTACAGTAGTACTGCAGTAGTACTAGACTAATATTGCAGTAGTAGTAGTATTACAGTAGTACTGCAGTAGTATTGCAGTAGTACTAGACTACTATTGCAGTAGTAGTAGTATTACAGTAGTATTGCAGTAGTAGTAGTACTGCAGTAGTAGTATTGCAGTAGTACTGCAGTAGTATTGCAGTAGTAGTAGTGGTATTTTATTAGTACTGCAGTAGTATTACAGTAGTATTGCAGTATTGTATTAGTACTGCAGTAGTAGTAGTATAGTACTAGTATTGCAGTAGTATTGCAGTACTTACCGTTTGATGTATCCGATGGTGTCCTGTGGTTTGACCTGAGCTGTTCTCTCTGTGTCGTTGAGAAACTTCAGTCTGACCACCATGTTCCTCTGAGACGATGAAGACTCTCCTTCTCCTGCTCCTCCTCCTCCTCCTCTGTTCCTCACCCCATCTCCTCCGGCCTCCTCCCTCTCCTCCCTCCCTCCCTCCTCCTCCTTCTCCTGGGTGGAGGCAGTGGGAGTTTCTGTCAGAGAGCTGTCACTCACAGAGCTGGAGGGTGATGAAGAGGAGGATGAAGTGGTGGTGTTGGTGGAGGTGAGGGGTGTGTCCTGGTGGGCGGGGGCGGTCCTCAGTGAGGGGGCGGTGCCTGCGGCGGAGGTGAACAGATGCTCCGGGGGCTCGGAGGTGCGGGTGGAGATCCAGGCGAGCAGCAGCACCGCGAGCAGCAGCAGAGATCCGAACAGCAGCGTCACCTCGTCCCCTACACCTTCAATCAGAGCCATCGCCCCCGGCAACGCCCGCTGAGGTCAACACAGGTCACACACCTACACACAGGTGGCGGGGCTTAGCATCAACACCTGACACATGATTACTTACTGTCTTCAAATGAATCAAGAAGAACAAGCTCTAATGATTTAAATTATGAACAACATGAAAACATTTGATTTTAAACATGAGGTCAGAAACATCAACCAGGTGTCTGAGCCTGTTTCACACCTGTGCTCTTTAGTCAGGTGAACCTGAACCCTGCTTCGTTTCCCCTCGCTACGATTGGTTTGTGCAGCTGTGAAAACAGTAATCAGACCCTTTGGAGAAGGTGGCCTCGGTCCGGTCCAAATGAACTCCATTATGAACTGGATCTGACCGCACTAGACGGTTCCCATCACCTTCTTCCTGTGTTTACTCTTCTGCTGCAGACAATCTGACCAATCGGGAGGGAATGTTCTCACCTGGTTTGTAATGATGCATTTTGGTTCACTTGAATTTTCCTCAGTGTGAAAACAAACCGAACCTACAAGTTTACAACCCCATCAACCGAATCGGACCAGAGCAAATAAACAGTAGGGGTGAAAACACCCTTACTGTTCCTCCTGATCAGCCTGGACCTGGACCTGAACCTGGACCTGAATCTGAGCCTGAACCTGAACCTGAGCCTGGACCTGAATCTGTGCCTTGACCTGGACCTGTCATCAGGTCTGAAATGGAAAAGTGTTTTTCTCTACTGAAGGTTCAGGCTGAGAGAAATGATCTTCAAGGTCGAGGTGACGAGGTCAGAGAGGAGGTTATTCTGACTTTAACACCTCAGCCCTGATGTCATGTTGAGACTCAACCAGCAGTCTGTTAGTCTGCCCCTCAACACTGTGACATCATAAGTTCTAAAAAAAAAAAAACGTGTTTAATACCCTGATTATTCTCCGTGATAAACAGAAATAAACAAGTTCAACTGTTCAGAATTAATCTGATTAATTACTTGTCATTTAAAGATACATTCACACATTTGTTTCTGTATTATAAAGACAAAGATCAAACAATCAATCGATTGAATAGTTGATAAATAAAAAAGCAGAAGTTCTGAAATATTCACAGTAAACTGAAGGTTTGTGGTTTTGACTTGAGGCAACTGTCATGAGCGTTTTACATGTTTGACACAGAAATCACTGATCAATCACTGATAAATCAATCTGATTAATTACTTATCTGAAGCTTTGAGGCTGAGTTTGATTTTTACAGATGAAGTCTAAAGCAGGTTAAAATTTAAATACACAGTTTCATTCATTTATGAATGAAATGTCTCCAAAGTTATTTTGTATTGAAACGTGTGATCAGGTTCAGGCTCCTTCGTCACATCTGTCTTTTATCGATCTGATTTGTTTCTTTATTTGGGTCGTACAGGTGTGAGAGCGGCTCACCAGACGAGCTGACGGTTAGCGGTTATCTGGTCCTGTATCAGTCCGGTTACTGGTCACAGCTTCACTTTAACTCCCGACAGTCTGAACGTGCTGATTATCGATCAAACTAAACAATATCGTGCTAAACTCTGAGCTAACTGCTAACGGCGTTTAAAGTCGGACAGGAAGTCAGCTAAGCTACATGCTAACAGCTAACAGCCGGTTTATAACCGCCCGAGCAGATTCAGAGTTAGTTTAGTGTAGATAAAGAAGGTAAAATAAAAATGAATTAAACTCACAATTCAGCTGATGGACATCACATCACAGCCGTTAGCCTGTAGCTAACCAGGCTAATCTGCTCCGACGCTGCCCGACACTTCCTGCTGCTTCTTCTTCTGTGGTTCTGACCAAACTGGCGCACGTATTATTACGTGACGTATTACTCCCCCCCCCCCGCTGGTTCTGTGTATTTTCTTCGGTGTTTCCTGCCCGTTACAGATACTGCAGTAAAAGTACTAAATCACACTGCAAGTAATAATACACACTTTTTTAGTATTGATCCGATTGTGGATCAATACTGTTAATGAATCATTCAGTTTTAATATATTAAATATTGATTTTTTTTTCTTGATCTAACTATGTTTATCACTGTTTCATCTTTTTTTCTCTAATTAGCCTGCGGTGTGACGCATGCGCAGTGACCGTTTATTAGCCAGTTCATCCTGACGGAGCGTCAAGAGGCGGGAATTTACTGGATGTTACACGGTTTATCCTTCAAAATAAAAGACGCAGTTCAGCAAGCTAGACAAAAGAAATGTAAACAGTCAAAATACAATACTAAATAAGGTAAAAGACAAACAGTAAACAGTAGATTAAAAAATATTAAATGGCAATAACAATAAAAATAAAAGTACTACAGGTATAAACCATAAAGCAGTTTTAAAATATAATTTCAGTCTAAAGGAAACAACAAATACAGAGGTGAATGGAACAAACAGAGATATGATTAGAATTCACTGTTTATTGTGATTTGTATTTTTGAGAATTGTTTGGACTTTTTTTGGTCAGTTAAAGTTGTATTTTATATTTCATATCAAAGTAAAGTCATCACTGCAGGTTCTTCCTCTCAAACCATTTTATATACAGGCTTTTATTTTGAAAGAACCTCGGGGTCACGTGGTGCTCGGTGTGTAACTTGGCAGGTTGGATGAGGAGAGAAAGGGGGGGGATGAATCATCGGGAGGAGACGGACTGATGAGACACTCAGAAGACATCTGATCTGATCTGAGACCAGCTGCTGTCAAACATCTGCAGACTCACAGCAGCAGGTCCTGGTCCTGGTCCTGGTCCTGGTCCTGGATCTGGTCCTGGTCCCGGTCCCGCTGTCACTCTCTCTGTTTGTGTGGCGGTCTGCGTGTGAATGATGCCGGATCAGATCTCAGTGTGCGAGTTCCTCTTGGAGACCACCGAGGACTACAACTCCCCCACCACGTCCAGCTTCACCACCCGGCTGCAGAGCTGCAGGAACACCGTGGGAATCCTGGAGGAGGTAGGCTGTCTGTCCGGGGGGGGGGCTCCTCTGTCCCACGGCCTGACAGATGAAACATGTAATGATCACTAGGTGTCACTTACTGAAAGTAAATCAGACTGAACCTCAGCTGTCCACTCACACGTTATTTTCTCAGTGAAAGTCTGACGTCATCACCTTTTCCGCGCTCCGCCGTGTCTTCTTGTCAAAGTGAGATTGAGGAAAAAACAAGTGAGCTGAAGCGCGCGCTGCCTGGAGGGTGACATGACCCCCGAACTGCGGCCCACGGACAATGAACACGGTTCAATGATGATTATGATCAAAATTAAGTGCATGTAATATTTCGTAAATTTTAAGGTGTTTTTACCTTTTAAAAATCCCGTCATCTGTCCTGCTCCATGAGTGTTTCATTAATTAGTCCAAACATGGTGAAGCTGTGTGTGAAGTAAATTAAAATCTCATTAATTAAACCCTTCAGTTTAATAACACATCATGTTTCATGTTTCGATTCTCATACACACACACAGTTTAAACTGACTGACATCCTAAACCAGGTAACGTTAGCATAAACAAGCTAACATCAACCTAAATGAGCTTACGTTAACCTAAATGAACTAACATTAGCCTGAACAAGCTAAGGTTAGCCTAAATGAACTAACATACTAACTAACACTAACAAGGTTGTGTTGGAGCGTAGCTACAACAGACGTCTGTCACAGTTCAATGACAGTAACAGTAACAGTGGTGGAGCTAACAGGTTCATAGTGAACATGTTGATCTCCTCATCAACACTAAGTTGTTGATGTACAGTTGTATCAGAAGCAGAGGACTGTCTCTGTGTCTGTCCTCAGGTCCTGGATCAGGACCGCTCCGCTCTGCAGAAGGTCAAGAAGTCCGTTAAATCCATCTACAGCTCAGGACAAGGTAGGGACCAGGTTCTGGACCGGGTTCTGGTTCTGTTAAGACTCTGATCAGAGACCTCTTAGCGAAGTGACTTTAGTTTTAGCTCCAGGTTTTCCGGGCTGCACACCTGGGTCTGTTTAACCTACTTTGTAGTACAGGTCCGATGATGGTGATAATGAAGGTGATGATGATGATAGTGTTGATGATGATGATGAGTGATGATGATGATGATGATCGATGTGATGATGATAGTGTTGATGATGATATAATGTGTGACGGTGACTTGATGATGGTGATTGATGATGATGATGGTGAATGGTGATGATGAATGAATGATGGTGATTTGATGATGATTGATGATTGATGATGATTGTATGATGATGATGGTGATGATATGATGTGGTGATGAGATGATGATGGTGATGATGATGATGATAAATGAGATGGAGGCGTGATGAATGATGATGATAGAATGATGATGATGAGTGATGGTGATGATGATGGTGATGATGGTGATGATGAGGATGATTGAGTGGTGATGATGATGATGATATGGTGATGATGAGATATGGTGATGATGATGGATGGATGAATGATGATGATGAGGATGATGATGATGATAGATGATGGTGATGATGGGCGGATTGGAAAAATTAAGAAAATGTGAATGTTTGATGAGATGATGAGTAATGGATGCTGGTGATGGTGAATGATGATGATGATGATAATGTGACGGTGATGATGATGGAGATGAATGAAATAGATGTGATCATGATGATGTGGGAGCAGAGCATGCTGGGAACCAGGAGAACTTCAGTCAGGGTCTGGAGCGACTGGGAGGAAACAGCTGTGAACTGGGAGCTGCCTTTGTTAAGTTCTCATGCCTCGTTAAAGAACTGGCTGCTCTGCTCAATAACCTGGTGAGTCAGCTAATAATCGATCAATACAGTGGTGATGAGCTGATCAGAAGCTGATAGTAAAGTGACTGTGTGTTTAGCTGCAGAGTCTGAGTCATAACTTGGTCTTCACTCTGGACTCTCTGTTGAAAGGAGATCTGAAGGACGTTAAAGGGGTGAGTGTCTGTTCTGTGTGATCTGATTCTAGGTTTCATTTAGGGAATTTATTGTTTCATCAGGCCTTTTCTCCTTTTTCTCTCAGACTTTCTCTTGTTTAAATACTGAACCTCTTGTTCAGTAATGGACTGTTTCCTTCTGTTTCAGGACCTGAAGAAGCCTTTCGACAAAGCCTGGAAGGACTACGAGACCAAGCTGTGAGTGTGATACAACCAGGTCCTGGTGTCAAATACAACTAACAGACTGCAGAGACCCAGTCTGATTCATCTGCTGCACAAAGCAGTTCACTTCTTCACTATCTTAAGACAGACTGTGGTAAAATGAATTCTGGGTAAATTAAGACTTTTTTCAAAATAAAATAAAAAATCAATCCGCTGAGCTCTGCTTACCCTCAGCAGCACATGTTTGTCTTTAGGAAGAATTCAACAGTTACAGGAAGTTTTACTTTGAAGAGAGAGACAGTAAAACTAAGAATCAGATTTAGTCTCTAAAACTCTAAAAACTCTTTCCTTCTCTTTGCCTTCTCGTTTCACATGAAATCACATTCAGCTTCTCTGTGTTTCTGTAGCAGCTGGTTTCATTCACCTCTTTGTCTTAGTGCAGGAGTTACCTGAGCACATGAAGAGCAGGTGTGCACAGGTTGAACTAACAATGCGTTTATGTCTGTCAGCACAAAGATCGAGAAGGAGAAGAGAGAACACGCCAAACAACACGGGATGATCCGGACCGAGATCACGGGAGCTGAAGTCGCTGAGGAGATGGAGAAGGAGAGGAGGCTGTTCCAGCTGCAGATGTGTGAGGTACAGCAGCTTCGCTCAGGTGAACTGTACTTTTAAGAGCAGCTTTGGTTAATAGCTGTGTGTCTGTGTCCAACAGTATCTGATCAAAGTCAATGAGATTAAAACCAAGAAGGGAGTGGACCTGCTGCAGAACCTCATAAAGTATTACCACGCTCAGTGCAAGTAAGACCTCACTACGGGCTCTTTACTGTCTTTGTTTTATTGTGAAAAGTCACTGAGCTTCCTGTCTCTTCCTCCTGTCTCTAGCTTTTTTCAGGACGGTTTGAAAACAGCCGACAACCTGAAGCAGTACATTGAGAAACTGGCTGCTGACCTGTCCAACGTAAGAGCCTCACCTGTTCTGCTTGACTCCACCCCCTGGTGGTCCGCGAGTACAGTAGTTGAAATATCATTTTTCTCGAACAGTCTGAGGGACCACAGAGTGTTGATGTGTTTTTAATATTAAATCAACTCCATATAAAGTCAAACCTTGTATGAATCATCTATTTTAGTTGGACGTCACCGACGTGCTGTGACTCTGTCTGTTCACGCAGCTTTGATGGTCCACAGTTTGTTTTATGATGTCATGAATGATCAGCGTGACATCAGAGAGGACATGTAATGAAGCTAACAGTTAGCCTCCCTGACACTGAGCTAAATATGAACTCAAACACTGACATGATGCAGGAGGATCCAGACCGGGTCAGTCAACAGGAAATCAAATGAGACCATCAGGACAGTGTTCAGGTTTGAGTTTTAATAGTGATGTCAGCACATCAACTGAGACTCATGGTGCATTTGATGACCAGACAGCTGAAAGGGCACAACGTGGAGTACACAGCTAGTCCCTGGTTTGATTCCCGACTGGTTGGACTTTTTTCCTGTCTCTCTTCATTGTCCTATCCAATAAAGACCCCCCGCCTCCAGGTGAGATGACCATGTGAACTCTGCTGTCTCCACAGATCAAACAGAGTCAGGATGAAGAAAAGAAACAGCTGACAGCTCTCAGAGACCTCATCAAGAGCTCCTTACAGCTGGACCAGAGGGAGGTACAATACCTGGGAGAGCAGGGGTGGAGTCTAACTGGTGGGTGTGGCCTCACTGAATGGGCAGGGTCTAACAAGCAGGGGCGTGGCCTAGTGTCAGTGTAACTGAACACTTTTCCTGTGACCGTGAAGTAGAGATGTTTGTGAGACAGAGGCAGAGCTTCAGTCAGGATGAGACGGAGGCGGAGCTTCAGTCCTGTTGCTGCCAGCCTCTGATTTCATCACACTTCATCACTTCTTTCAAAGTCACTGAAGAAATAAATCATAAATTACCTGGTTCTGTGACATCAGAGGGGGTGGGGCTAAAAGATGAGAGGGAGGAGGGGTCATTGGGTCCTGGTCGGGTTTAATGGATTTATTGGTATAATATACAAACTATTGCTCACAGCATCATCAACTTTGATTAAAACAGTGACCTTTGACCTTTTTCTCTCTTTCTCCTGCGTTCTGTGACTCCAGTCCAGGAGAGTAAGTCTAAACTTTATTTCATCCTCATCTTCAGAAGCTTCATCAAACTTTTTGTCATGTTAATGTGTGTGTGTGTGTGTGTGTGTGTGTGTGTGTGTGTGTGTGTGTGTGTGTGTGTCAGGACTCCCAGAGTAAACACAGTGGCTACAGTATGCACCAGCTGCAGGGAAACAAGGAGTTTGGCAGTGAGAAGAAAGGATACCTGCTGAAGAAGAGTGACGGGTACGAGTGTCATTCACCTGTATAGGTGTTACAGATATTACAGATGTTACAGGTGTACAGATGTTACAGGTGTCACAAGTGTTACAGATGTTACAGGTGTTACAGGTGTTGTGTTTCCCCCCATCAGGCTGAGGAAGGTGTGGCAGCGGAGGAAATGTTCAGTGAAAAGCGGCGTCCTGACGATCTCTCATGCAACAGTAAGAACTACATCTCTCATCATGCACTGCAGCAGTCAGCCTCAGCAAAAGTCAGGGTCTCAGGGTCTCAGGGACTCAGGGTATCAGTCTCAGGGTCTCAGAGTCTCAGGGTCTCATGGTCTCAGAGTTTCAGGCTCTCAGAATCTCATGGTCTCATAGTCTCAGTCTCATGTTGACAGAGTCTTAGGGTCTCACTCTCATGGTCTCAGGGTGTGAGGGGCTAATGGTCACAGTCTCAGTAAGAACTACATTTCTCATCATGCACTGCAGCAGTCAGCCTCAGTAAAAGTCAGGGTCTCATGGTCTACGGGTCTCAGGGTCTCACGGTCTCAGGGACTCAGGGTCTCAAGGTCTCAGTGTCAGGTTCTCAGTCTCAGAGTCTCATGGTCTCAGAGTCTCAGGGTCGCACTCTCATTGTCTCAGGGTCTCAATCTCAGGGTCTCATGGTCTCAGAGTCTCAGTCTCAGGGTCTCAGAGTTTCATGGTGTCAGGGTCTCAGTCTTAGGTTCTCACGGTCTCAGTCTCAGAGTCTCAGGATCTCAGAGTCTCAGTTTCATTGTCTCATGGTCCCAGAGTCGTAGAGTCTCATGGTCACAGATTGTCATGGTCTCAGTCAGGGTCTCAGTCTCAGAGTCTCATGGTCTCAGGGTCTCATGGCCTCAGGGTCTCAGAGTCGCATGGTCTCAGAGTCTCATGGTCTCAGGGTCTCAGAATCTCATGGTCTTAGGGTCTCCATCTCAGGGTCTCGGTGTGAGGCACTAATGGTCACAGTCTCAGATTCTCAGGGTCTCAGTGTCAGGTTCTCATTGTTTCAGAGACTCATGGTCTCAGGGTATCAGTCTCAGGGTCTCAGAGTCTCATGGTGTCAGGGTCTCAGTCTCAGGTTCTCATGGTCACAGTCTCAGAGTCTCAGGGTCTCATGGTCTCAGTCTCAGGGTCTCATGGTCCCAGAGTCGTAGGGTCTCATGGTCACAGAGTGTCATGGTCTCAGAGTCTCATTGTCTCAGAGTCTCATGGTCTCATGGTCTCTGGGTCTCAGAGTCTCATGGTGTCAGGGTCCCAGAGTCTCAGGGTCTCAGAATCTCATGGTCTCATAGTCTCAGTCTCATGTTGACAGAGTCTTAGGGTCTCACTCTCATGGTCTCCATCTCAGGGTCTCAGTGTGAGGGGCTAATGGTCACAGTCTCAGAGTCTCAGGGTCTCAGTGTCAGGTTCTCAGTCTCAGAGTCTCAGGGTCGCACTCTCATGGTGTCAGGGTCTCAGTCTCAGGGTCTCAGTCTGAGGGGCTAATGGTCACAGTCTTAGAGTCTCATTGTCTCAGAGTCTCATGGTCTCAGGGTCTCAGTCTCAGGGTCTCAGAGTCTCATGGTGTCAGTCTAAGGTTCTCATGGTCTCAGAGTCTCAGTTTCATTGTCTCAAGGTCTCAGAGTCACAGTCTCAGGGTCTCGGAGTCTCATGGTGCTAGTCTCATGGTCTCCGTCTCCATCTCAGGGTCTCAGATTCTCAGGGTCTCAGGGTCTCAGAGTCTCATGGTGTCAGGGTCTCAGTTTCATTGTCTCAAGGTCTCAGAGTCACAGTCTCGGGTTCTCATGGTCTCAGGTTCTCATGGTTTCAGAGTTTCAGTTTCATTGTCTCAAGGTCTCAGAGTCACAGTCTCAGAGTCCGGGGTCTCATGGTGTCAGTCTCATGGTCTCGGTCTCAGGTTCTTTTGGTCTCAGATTCTCAGGGTCTCAGAGTCTCATGGTCTCAGGGTATCAGTCTCAGGGTCTCAGAGTCTCATGGTGTCAGGGTCTCAGTCTAATGTTCTCATGGTCTCAGAGTCTCAGTTTCATTGTCTCAAGGTCTCAGAGTCACAGTCTCAGGGTCTCGGAGTCTCATGGTGCTAGTCTCATGGTCTCCGTCTCCATCTCAGGGTCTCGGATTCTCAGGGTCTCAGAGTCTCATGAAGTCAGAGTCTCAGTCTCAGGGTCTCAGAGTCTCATGGTCTCAGGGTTTCAGTTTCATTGTCTCAAGGTCTCAAGGTCTCAGAGTCACAGTCTCAGTCTCAGGTTCTCATGGTCTCAGAGTCTCAGTTTCATTGTCTCAAGGTCTCAGAGTCACAGTCTCAGAGTCTCGGGGTCTCATGGTGTCAGTCTCATGGTCTCGGTCTCCATCTTATGGTCTTAGATTTTCAGGGTCTCAGAGTCTCATGGTGTCAGGGTCTCAGTCTCAGGGTCTCAAAGTCTCATGGTGTTAGGGTCTCATTCTCAGGGTCTCGGAGTCTCATGGTGTTAGGTTCTCAGTCTTAGGGTTTCAGAGTCTCATGGTCTCAGTCTCAGGGTCTCAGAGTCTCATGGGGTTAGGGTCTCAGTCTCAGGGTCTCAGAGTCTCATGGTGTTAGGGTCTCAGTCTCAGGGCCTCAGAGTCTCATGGTCTCAGGGTCTCAGAATCTCATGGTGTTAGGGTCTCAGTCTCAGGGTCTCAGTCTCAGGGTCTCAGAGTCTCATCGTGTTAGGGTCTCAGTCTCAGGGTCTCGAGTCTCATGGTCTCATGGTCTCAGTCTCAGGTTCTCGTGGTCTCAGAGTCTCAGTTTCATTGTCTCAAGGTCTCAGAGTCACAGTCTCAGAGTCTCGGGGTCTCATGGTCTCAGTCTCAGGTTCTCGTGGTCTCAGAGTCTCAGGATCTCAGAGTCTCAGTTTCATTGTCTCAAGGTCTCAGAGTCACAGTCTCAGAGTCTCGGGGTCTCATGGTCTCAGTCTCAGGGTCTCAGTCTCAGAGTCTCATGGTCCCAGAGTCATAGGGTCTTACGGTCACAGAGTGTCATGGTCTCAGAGTCTCAGGTTCTCAGAGTCTCAATTTCACTGTCTCAAGGTCTCAGAGTCACAGTCTCGGGGTCTCATGGTCTCAGTCTCATGGTCTCAGTCTCATGGTCTCATAGTCTCAAAGAGTCTCAGATTCTCAGGGTGTCATGGTCTCAGTCTCATGGTCTCAGAGTCTCAGGGTGTCATGTTCTCAGTCTCATGGTCTCAGAGTCCTAGGGTGTCATGGTCTGAGTCTCACGGTCTCAGAGTTCTAGGGTGTCATGGTCTCAGTCTCAGAGTCTCAGTCTCATGGTCTCTGAGTTGAACACAGGAAACATTCTGTCTGTTTTTAATGGAGTCTGATTTCAGCTTTTAGTTTCTTGATGCTGAGTCACATCATTAAATAATCATCAGCTTTTCTGGTGTCAGATAACAGCAACTCACCTCAGTGTTGATCTGAACAGCTGCTAACTCTTCTTCAGTGGTATTATCATGATTATAGCTGGGAGCAGAAACTCTCTGTGGTGCGTTTAGGGACACTTTGACTCTTGTTTAGTTCAGGTGTGGTTTGACAGTGGTTATCACAAATGGGGTAAAACTGCAGTGTTGAAGCAGCCCCACAAAAACACTGAGGCAGGTATCAACAAGGATTGGTTAAAGTACAATAACTAAAGAGACTAAAGTATAAAATAAAATAAAATATAAATAATACAAAAAAACAGACCCAGAGCTACACTGTGCTGCATATAAACTGCTACAGCAGGCTAACAGGAGCTGCTACAACAAGCTAACAGGTGCTGCCACAACAGGCTAATAGGTGCTGCTACAACAAGCTATCAGGAACTGCTACAACAGGCTAACAGGGGCTGCTACAACAAGCTAACAGGAGCTGCTACAACAAGCTATCAGGAGCTGCTACAACAGGCTAACAGGTGTTGCTACAACAAGCTAACAGGTGCTTTTACAACAAGCTATCAGGTGCTGCTACAACAGGCTAACAGGAGCTGCTACAACAAACTAACATGAGCTGCTACAACAGGCTAACAGGAGCTGCTACAACAAGCTATCAGGAGCTGCTACAACAAGTAAACAGGTGCTGCCACAACAGGCTAATAGGTGCTGCTACAACACGCTAACAGGAGCTGCTACAACATGCTAACAGGAGCTGCTACAACAGGCTAACATGAGCAGCTACAACAAGCTAACATGAGCTGCTACAACATGCTAACAGGAGCTGCTACAACAGGCTAACATGAGCAGCTACAACAAGCTAACATGAGCTGCTACAACATGCTAACAGGAGCTGCTACAACAAGCTAACATGAGCAGCTACAACACGCTAACAGGAGCTGCTACAACAAGTTAACAGGTTCTGCTACAACAGGCTAATAGGTGCTGCTACAACAAGCTAACAGGAGCTGCTACAACACGCTAACAGGAGCTGCTACAACAAGTTAACAGGTTCTGCTACAACAGGCTAACAGGAACTGCTACAACAAGCTAACATGAGCTGCTACAACACGCTAACAGGAGCTACTACAACAAGCTAACATGAGCTGCTACAACATGCTAACAGGAGCTGCTACAACAAGTTAACAGGTTCTGCTACAACAGGCTAACAGGAGCTGCTACAACAAGTTAACAGGTTCTGCTACAACAGGCTAACAGGTGCTGCTTCAACAAGCTAACATGAGCTGCTACAACGCGCTAACAGGAGCTGCTGCAACAAGTTAACAGGTTCTGCTACAACAGGCTAACAGGAGCTGCTACAACAAGCTAACATGAGCTGCTACAACAGGCTAACAGGAGCTGCTACAACACGCTAACAGGAGCTACTACAACAAGCTAACATGAGCTGCTACAACATGCTAACAGGAGCTGCTACAACAAGTTAACAGGTTCTGCTACAACAGGCTAACAGGAGCTGCTACAACAAGTTAACAGGTTCTGCTACAACAGGCTAACAGGTGCTGCTTCAACAAGCTAACATGAGCTGCTACAACGCGCTAACAGGAGCTGCTGCAACAAGTTAACAGGTTCTGCTACAACAGGCTAACAGGAGCTGCTACAACAAGCTAACATGAGCTGCTACAACAGGCTTACAGGAGCTGCTACAACAAGCTAACATGAGCTGCTACAACAGGCTAACAGGAACTGCTACAACAAGCTAACATGAGCTGCTACAACAGGCTTACAGGAGCTGCTACAACAAGCTAACATGAGCTGCTACAACAGGCTAACAGGAACTGCTACAACAAGCTAACATGAGCTGCTACAACACGCTTACAGGAGCTGCTACAACAAGCTAACATGAGCTGCTACAACAGGCTAACAGGAACTGCTACAACAAGCTAACAGGTACTGCTTTAGGCAGCTAACAGGAGTCTCCCTCTGTCTCTCTCTCAGTCCAACAGACAGCCTGTCAGACTGAACCTGCTCACCTGTCAGGTGAAACCCAGCGCAGAGGACAAGAAATGCTTTGACCTGATCTCCCGTGAGTCTGTTAGTCTGAACCTGATACAGATGTTTGTTGAGACACTTCAGTGGAGAAGTCTGTGTCCTGTTTACTTCCTCTTGTTCTTTTTCTCCTGGTGTTCTGCTGCAGATAATCGGACGTACCATTTCCAGGCTGAAGATGAGCAGGAGTTTATCAGGTGAGACTCTCGTCAAATCGTTTTCAGTTTTTGAGTTTTTATTTCCTCAGTCAGTCCGTGGATGTTTGATGTGTGTGTTCAGTACAGGGCTTATCACATCAGATTATAATCTGGATCATTCACTTCATGGACCTGCTTAATTTCTTCATTGATATCTATTGATCCTGTAGATGTTGTTCACATGCTCTGTGTGTGTGTGTGTGTGTGTGTGTGTGTTACAGCTGGGTGTCTGTGCTGACCAACAGTAAGGAGGAGGCCCTGAATGTGGCGTTGCAGGGCGGAGGTCAGAGTTCATGTGTGGAGGAGGAGGAACTCACCAAGAGCATCATTGACGAGGTGCTGCGGTCGCCAGGCAACGACACCTGCTGTGACTGTGGAGCTGCAGGTACTGGTTTCACATGTTAGCAGTATAGTGAGGACAAGTCCATGCAGAGTGATGTCACTGTGATGTCATCACACTGATGTATGGAGCCCTGAGATGGACCGACTGGACTATGGTGGACTCTGTGTGTGTTCAGATCCTCGGTGGCTCTCCACTAACCTGGGTGTTCTGACCTGCATCGAGTGCTCAGGGATCCACAGGGAGATGGGAGTCCACGTGTCCCGGATCCAGAGTCTGGAACTGGACAAACTGGGAACCTCAGAGCTGCTGGTAACATTTGTGACGTCCGTTCTGTTTCCTGTCGACCTCTCACTCCTCTGACTTCACGCTGTCTCTCCTTCCTTCCTGTCAGCTCGCTAGGACTGTTGGGAACTGTAGTTTTAATGAGATCATGGAAGCTGGTCTACCCTCTCCGTCTCTGAAGCCGATGGCCTGCAGCGACATGTGAGTGTGTGTCTCTGAGTGCACTGCAGACGTCAATGAGCTGATTTAATGTTAACACACTGCTATCTGCAGGACGGCGAGGAAGGAGTTCATCAACGCCAAGTACATCGACCACAGGTTTGCCAGACCGTCCGTCTCCATGGTGACCAGCAGGCTGGACAAGTTGTATGACGCAGTGCAATCCCGAGACCTTCTGTCAATCATCCAGCTGTATGCTGAGGGGGTGGAGCTTCTACAGCCCCTCCCTGAACCAGGCAAGGTCAGTTGGACTTTACACCTGTCAATCATGGGAGGAGGGTTTCAGGGGGTTTGAAAGGTCTACCTGAGGTAGGTCTAGGTATCCTTTAGATTCTCACAATCCTTGAAGAGGTTGCAGGATCCCGGTCTTTGCTGGTGTACCTGTGGGACATCACTCAGCAGCAATCTTTTGGGGACTACTTGAGGAGTTTCTGATGCTCATTAGGAAGTCTCAGTTTATGCTGGGTTTGAGGAGACTGCCGGGATCCTTGATCCTGGGCTGCTGGACCGAAGCTCCTACACAACATGCTTCAGGAGGTTCCAGAAATGTTTGATGTTTGAATTTAATCTGGTCCTGGGGTTAAAGACTTCAAGGACCTTCCCAGATTCTGACAGAAGGTTTTAGTCCAGGAGGGAAAGTTTCTTCTAGTGGGTCTGGTTCTTCAGGTCCAGTAGGAGGTTTCTGTGGTACCAGAGTTTCTTTGGATCCTGCAGCTGTGGGGGGTCTGAGCTGTGTTCAGTGACTGGTTTGAACTTTGTTGATGTTTCTGTTCAGGAAGCAGGAGAGACTGCGTTACATTACTGTGTTCGGACAGCTGATCCCTCCTCCCTCCACCTGGTCGACTTCCTGGTCCAGAACAGGTACAGACACTGTGACCTGTTTATTTCTGCTGCAACGTTACATGGAGCCAGACTCTAGTGGCCATTAGAGGAACTGCAGGTTTTATTTTTCTGTCCTGGAGGTTGATGTGTACCTGTGTGTACCTGTAGTGGTCACCTGGACGGACAGACAGACGGGGGGAACACAGCTCTGCACTGCTGCTGTCTCTACAACAAACCTCAGTGTGTGAAGCTGTTGCTAAGAGGAAAACCAGATCTCCACATCAGTAAGACCAGTGCACTGAGCCAGACCTGAACCCTGAGTCCAGTCCAGTACAGGGACAGGTCCAGTCCAGGTTTACACTTCATTCTGCATCATGGTGTTGTTACTACCTGTCTTTGTCTGTGTCTCCTTAGCCAATCAGAGTGGAGAGACAGCACTGGACATCGCCCGCAAACTGAAGAACTCCCAATGTGAAGAGCCGGTAAGAACCAGGACTGGAGCCAAAACCAGATCCAGATCTAATCATTACTTTAAAAAAAAGTCTCAGTTACTCAGAGGAGTTGGTGGAGCCTCCCAGTGACCAGGTCTGTAATAATAAACTGGATTGAAAACCTGATCACTGACCCAGATGACCCTGATCAGAGACCAGCTGACCCTGTCCTAACCCCTCCCTCTGTCTCCAGCTGGTGGAGGCCGTGTCTGGCAGGTTCAACCCTCATGTTCATGTGGACTACGACTGGAACCTCAGACTGGACGAGCTGGACGAGAGTGACGAAGACCTGGACGACAAGGTACCAACCCCAGACCCCCAGACCACAGAGACAGGGGTCAGCTGGTTTATGTTTGACTGTGTTAATATCCCCCTCCTCCCCCTCCCCCTCCCCCTCCTCCTTCTCCTTCTCCTCTGCAGCCCAGTCCGATGAAGAAGGAGCGTTCTCTCCGTCCTCAGAGTTTCTGTCCGTCCTCCAGCACCTCCTCTCAGGAGAAACTTTCTCTGCCGACCTCCTTCATTCCTCCTCACAGGAACAAGCAGCGTCTCTCCTACGGAGCGTTTGCCAACCCCAACTACAGCACCTCCTCTGAAACTCCTCCTTCCCCTGGACCTGACACCTCAGGACCTTCACCGGCTGCCAGGAGTAAGGGGAAAGGTACGAGGACTGTGATGCAGACCAGTGGTTCTTAAACCAGGAGGAGGTTACAGGAGTCCTTTTCACGAGTACAGAGGGATCTGAAGATTGGGGGGGGGGGGGTCTTTAGGGAGTTCCAGAGGTTTTTGAAGATGGTGCAGATGCTGAAGGGGCTCTGAGGGGGTTCTGTAACATGAGGTCTTGAGGAGGTCCAGAAGTCAGAGAGAAGATCTGCAGTGTCTCTGTAACAGGGATTTATCTTTAGAGAGTTGTAGGCATTATTCAGGGTGGTCCGGGAGGTCTGATGTCTGAGGTCCAGGAGGTCTCAGGTCTCAGGACTGTGGTCTCCAGTCTGAGGTCGGAGGTCTGAGGTCTCAGGTTCCTTAAGTTTCAGCGTTGAAATCATGTGATGAATCTTTAGTGTTAAATCAAATCACTGATTAGTTCTTCCATCAGGCCCACCCACCTCCCTCCCCCTCACCTCCCAGATCAGTGGAGGAGGAAGGGCTTCAGGAGGAGGAAGCTCCACCCTGAAGAAGAGACCCCCTCCCCCTCCACCCGGGCACAAGCGCACCCTGTCCGACCCCCCCAGCCCCGTCCTGCAGGGACCTCCAGGTAAAGGTAAGATGGTAATGTGACAAAACATTTGAACCTTGACGCCTGGTGGATTTCTTCTGAGGTCTATCTCAACACAAAGTCCAGACCAAAGAAAGGTCAGGTGATCACACTCCAACACGCCTGTACCTGAGTGAGCTGGCAGTGAGAGTAGTGACATATAGAGTTTATATCTGAAAAACAGTTGTAGGATGAAAACTGCTCAAAATCTCCACCATTGATGCTCGTTGTGGCCCAGTGCATTCTGGGAAACTTTGAACCCCAAAGCCAGCGGAGTGAGAATGCCTCAAAGGTTTGATCTGGACTTGATTTGGACTTGGAGCAGGACTCTGGCTGTGACTGAACAGAAAAGAACGCAGACTGAGAGCGCCTCTTGTTTTCACACAGGATGTGAGATGACCCCCCCACCTGGAAACAGGATGTCACCTGTCAACAAGTTTGAGGGGATCCAGCAGCATCAGAGGTACTTCAGCTCACTGTTCGGAAACACTGTGACAGCTCAGTTCAAACAAATGGTTAGAAGTGAACATGACCTCTGACCTCTTCTGATCTTCTCCAGTACGACCTCCAGTCACACCAAGTCCACACTGGGACCCAGAGTTCTGCCCAAACTACCTCAGAAAGGTGAGACCACTTCCATCTGTTTACTACAGACCTGCTGTATCATAACCTCGTCTGTGACCTCCAAAAGATATTTATACACATTATTACATTTTAACACATTTTATTATATGTTATTACATGTTATTACATAATATTACACATTAGTAAACATTATTAAACATTATTACATGTTATTAAACATGTTTACATCCTTTTGGCATAAGAATAAAAAGTGCACAGATCCTCACCTACAGTGATAATCAGTTATTACACACCAGGATCCTCCAAGATCTGGATCAGGATCCGGATCCTGGAGGATCCTTAAACCAGTTCCTCTCCAGGTGTATCAGACTGGTTTTGTCTCTTTGTGTCTCAGTGTCTCTCAGAAAGATTGACACCATCCACCTTCCATCTCTGGACAAATCCAGCCAGCCTCCAGACCCCATCCACAAACCCACCTCCTCCCCCTCTCTCCACCCTGATCTCCAGAAGTCCCCTCCATTTATTGATGCCTCCCCTAAATCCCCCCTCACCCCAATGGACTCCACCCAGAGAACCCTATTGGCTGAGAAGCCCCAGCTGTCCAACCTCCCTCCCAAACCTCACCTGTCTGACCTCCCCCCGAAACCCCTTCTGAAAGACCGCCCCCCCAAACCCCAGATCACAGACCCCCCCCCCAAACCGCTGCTCAGTGACAGGCCTTGCCCCACCCCTGTTGCTATGGAGACACAGGGATCCAAGGCAGCGGCAGTAGCAGAAAGCCAGTCAAGGGAGGGGTCACCTGGACCAGCAGGTGAAGACGACGAGGAGTCAACACCTGAAGCGGCGGAGACGCCCGTCCCCCTGCCGAGGAAGATCACCTCTGTGGGTCGTCATGGTGACATCACAACAGCCTCACTGGTGTCAGTTCAAAGACAGAGACCTTCATCTCTCTGTGTGTTACCTGTGTTTCAGGTGAGGAGCAAGATCAGGAGGGTGAAGACCATCTACGACTGTCAGGCCGACAACGACGACGAGCTCACCTTCACAGAGGGGGAGGTCCTCATTGTCACTGGGGAGGAGGACCAGGAGTGGTGGGTAGGTACCACACCTGAACACCAGGAGGCACTCATGTCACCTGCTCCAATCACAGCACGTTGTTTACCTGGACCGACTGAGATCCAGTTGATGAACCAGACCTGAACCGGTTTAGTCTGGTACCTGTGAGGACCTGAACCAGTTCAGATCAGGATCATTAAACCAGGTTCTTTAAGTTTCTGTGACGTCTGAGTGAAGAAGCTGCGACATGACAACAACACGTTCATCCAGAGTCCACATGAATAGAACCTGGTCTCACAGTGTCTGAGGCTTCACGTCAATGTTTCTGTCAATTTACACTTTTAAATTAACTCATTAACTGATTAATTATTAAATGTATTGTTTATCGATTATTGTCTTTCAGATCGGACACGTTGAGGGACACCCCGAGAGGAAAGGTGTCTTCCCCATGTCTTTTGTTCACATCCTCTCTGATTGACGGCTGCGAGGCGAGTGTGAGGCCATCGCCCACCGGCACAAGCAACCTGCTGCTGACCAACAGGAACAAAATAATGACGTCACCCTCAGTCCTCGCTGTAAATAGACTTTATTATTCTGCCTAACAGTGTTACCATAGCAACCCAGCATGCCAACCCAGGTGGGCCGTAGCAACGAGGTCTACAGAGAAGGAAAAGACACACGGGTAAGGGGTCAGAGGTCAGGTTCAGGGTCAGAAGTCAGAGGTCAGGGTCAGGTCTGAACTGGTCTGAGGGGTCATTACAACAAAGCACAACAGCAGAGACATCAGCTGATGTTCACTTCCTCCTGGATCGACATCGTAGTCCTGCACGGGTCCGTGTGGCGCCACTCCTTCAGAGCTCAGTTATAGTCTCGCCAGCCTCAGTCCTCAGATCAGTTCGGGTCCAGACCTGTGGCCTAGACTCTGTGATGTGTTCAGGGTAATTTGAGAGTGTGATTTATCACAGACACGTTAAGTCTTTTCAAAATAAAGCAGCAGGAAGGAAAAAACTCCATTAACCAGAAACAAACACAGGAGGGGAAAAGTGGATATACACAGGGATGACCACGGAGATAATCATAGTCTGATGAAAGGCGGGAAACTGCAACGACAAGAGACGTGAGCACTTCAAAATAAAACAGGAATATGCATAACACAAGACAGGAGGTCCTTTTATCTACTCTCCTATTCTTACCTGTACATGTTCACCTGTCCTCTGCTGCCTGGCTCAATGCAGGACTGTGATGTAGCACACCTGTCCTCATCAGACATCTACAGGTGAACTAAGGTGTGATGATGTGTAGGTTCATGTGGTGAGGACTGAGTCAGTGGTTCTCACCTGATCTGACTTCAGTGCAGGTCTCAGATCACTTTCCTGAATCAGGTGTTTTCAGGTGTGACTTTTCCTTCTCTTCACATGCTCCAATCAGATCTCTCCAGAGCCAATTGTACACTCCAACTGTATTTACTGTATCTGTGTAAAGCACAAGCCTCTTTCTGTACTCACTTGTCTGTCTGTAAAATCACTCATCAGTTCATCTCTGTGTTTAGCCTAGCTTAGCACAGAAACTGGAAGCAGACTGGTGAAAGTGTTAGCCTAGCACCTTCTGATTCACATATTGACTTTGGTGGAGACAGAAAACAAGAAGGTTTTTTAAATTTCTGTTTTCTGTTTTGTGTTAGAAACCATGTTTAGATATTTCCTGTCCAGCATGCACAGCTACAGAGGCTGTAATAACATAACCAGAGCTCTCATTTATCCAGCATTTTATACAGCTAGTTAATCAGTAAGAAGCAGCATTAGATCCAATCAAATGAAGAAAATATATTTCACTCCAGCCAGAGTGGTCGCACCAGGAAGTAATTCAACAAACTTAATCTTATCAAATTATCACATTTGTAAAAGTGAAAAAAACAGTGACTGTAAATCTGCATTCGTGATTATGACTGTGGTTGCTGTGGCCGGAGAGCTAACCGTTAGCATGCTAGGTCATAGTTGATCTTGTCACTAGCTGGTTTACGAACTGCCAGTAAGCAAGCTAGCTAGCTAGCAGAATGAATTCAGATGTGAAAGCTGACGTCTGTGAAAACATCCTCTCTGAGGTTACAGCAGTTCATTAGTTTATACATGTTACTGGTGCGACTGAGTCCTGCTCCAGGTTTTCTAACAACAACTACAGAGATGTTGTTACTTGTTTATTAAGTGTGTCATGGAAGGAACGTTGATGAGGTTTGTTAAACCACTGCTCTTAGTTTCATTTCTAAATGTTTCTTGCTGACTCATATTGGCTAGGTTAGCTAGGTTAGCTACAAAGATGATCAACAGATCTTTGGGCTTGTTAGCTTAAACACAACTAAGCTCACAAAGTTGACACTGCTGTGATTCTACTGGCAAGTTGTCTGTGTTTAAACAATCAGTTATTCAGTGATATTATTAACAACAATACTAATAATTATTATTAAACAGTGAAATGACCTGAGCTGTGATGAAACACGAAGTCTGACTGTGAATAATGACGATGAACTCTGTCAGTTCGTCCTTTAAAGGAACAGTCTGACGTATATCCTGTTGTCTCTTCTCCAGTTAGCTTAGTTCAGGGGGAGACTGTTAGCTTAGCTTGTAGCTCTGTTCGTCTTCTATTGTGATACAAGGATTTGACAAATGGCTGACTGTCCCTGTGTGAAGTGCGAATTAAGGACCTGGAAACACTTTGTATTCACCAAAGAAGATTGACTCTGTCTAATGAGGATGATTATGTTAGTGAGATCTTCTCCTTTTTATATATTAATTTAGTAATTATCAGATGATGATTTATCTTAAAGAGGCAATTATATCCTAATTATAATAGTCAGAAAGAGTGAAAAAAAAATCTTATAATGTTGAGATAAAGTCTGTGTGATGAGCTAATAATAACCAGTCAGAGTGAGCAGTTTGAATACAGCTGTTTTCTCTTTGGTGGATGCAGTGTGTTTGTGTTGAGGTGGGTCTGTATTGGATCCAGAGGTTCTGGTTGTGAGCTGGTCAGGACAGATCCTGAACCTGAAATTTATTTATTTAATGAGACTTTGTGTCAGGAGGAGGCAACAGAATAAAACTGAAGACTTATTAAAACTGTCTCTACACTGAAGCTCCTTGTTTGTGTTTTTGTTTTATTGTGAAATATGAGCTTTGTGCTCTGCTGCCGGGTCTGAGCCGGACCAGCACTGGCTACAACCACGAGGAAACCACCATCACCAATAAACATGAGGATCAACAAGTTTGTTTTGTTTTCTGTTGATGATCACATGATGATTACATGACGTGGTCAGTTGAAATATTTAACAGACAAATCATTTTTAAACTTTATTACAGACAGAAAAAGTCCATAAATCAGTGACAGATGATCATCACATGAGGGAGTATCAGAGACCAGAGACCCCCCACCCTTCTGGATCCTTTAATCTGTCACGGTCTGTAGTTACAGGCACCCACCTGTGAAATTCCGTCCGTATCAAAATACAAAACATGACTTTTCAAATTAAGACAACAGGAAACTAAACTCATTAATTTACCTTTAACAATGACGTCACTCCGACGTGTCGTTTTAAAGAGATGATAAATGGATAAATTATCGTTTGAAACATGAAAGTATTTTATTTGAATCTGTCCATGAGTGTTTTCATTCGTGAGTCTGAACCTGGTGAAGCTGTTCATCTCTCCAGTCAATTAAAGCTCAGTCACACTTCACTCATTCACATTCATCTGGAAATAAGAGGAAACTCAAGAAGCCCTTAACATCTTCATTAAGGCTTTTTCAAATTAAGGGCTTTAGTTAGTAAAAAACAGATGAAGATCTCTGACTTTTTCAGTAATTCATTTCATCCATAAAAACAGACTCTCCCTGTGTTCAACATCCAGAGCAGCAGGTGGCGGTACACATTCACACACACACATACACACACACGCACACACACACACACACACGCACGCACACTGAGGGCCTTGGGGTCCTGACATGGTTTGTGTTTTATTTATTTTGGGACGAAGTTCATAAAGACAGAAAAATAAAGTCTCTGTAGATTTTTAAAGAAAATGTGTTATTATAGAACTGCACTTTATTAAGCGCGCGCGCGCGCACACACACACACACACACACACACACCTGTGGAGAGTTTCCCCGGAAGACAGGTGTATCGATCAGTTTGATGTATCGATTGATCAGTGATTGGCTCTAACTTCGCGACCCTCTGTGGGAGGGAACGGGTGACTCTGAGATCAGACCCGGCAGACGGTGTGTACTCAGCGGGCAGGATGCCATGTGGATGCGGGCTGCTGTCCTGCAGGATGCAGGTTACGCTGCCGTCTCCGAGCCGCTGATAAGCCGCCGACAGGCCGGGGAGGGAGAGCGGAGCAGCCGGTAGACCTGATGACTTTCTTCATACTTTGCTTCTCCCTCTCGGAGCCTGGAGCAGCCGGGCAGCCGCTCTCCTCCCCGCACCTCCGGCCACAGTTCTATCGGCGGCTGGCCGTCGGGTCCCTGGGCCCCAGTCCTCTGTCTCCCCGCCGGTTCACATCTGGACCCGGACCAGGTTAGAGTCAGGAGGGCGGATTTCCAGAAAAAGGTGCTTTCGCGGTTTAAATTTTGAGCATACTGACTGAAAGACTAATTAAGACAAATTCAATAAATTGTTATTTTTATATGTCAATTAGTTTTAAGCGGCTTTGGCTGGTGTCTTCGCCGCTGTCTCTGGTTTCATCCTCCGCCTTTGTCCTCATGTTTTCCCCCGGAGTTCCTCCCCCTGCGGCGCTGGGCGGAGTTTCATACCGGACTAGACGCTCCTTTTGTCGGATTCGTTTCGACCTGACTCCCCGGGGTTTACGGCTGAAAAAAACACACTTTCAAAGTCCCGAAATAACCCAAGCGACCACAGTGGTGTGCAGTAATAGCCCGGGTTTCTGTCTGAACCACAAGGTAAGTAGTGGGTTGTGATTTTTAAGCAGATTTCTGGGGTTTTCTGATCGTTTGTCCCCGAGTCTCCAGAACATTCATGGCGGCTTCGCAGTGAAGGCTTCTGGGGCAGCAGCAAGTCATCCAGCCCGCTCTGCACCGAAATCATCTAATATAAGAGTTCTGGCAGTTTAATGACCGGCACCAGAACAACATGTTGCCGTTATAACATCATTATTTTTTACAACCAAAGACCAAGATGTCGACGAATTTTATCATTTAAGCAGTTTTGCTAAATAATGCGATTATCAGCTACACGTGTCAAATTGAGCTTCAGCTCGGTGTTTTAAAAACATGTGAATTAATTTCGTGTTTGTATCTTCTAAGTTTTTCTCATAATTTCCACATTTAACCTAAAAAGGTTACCGCTAGCTTGTCTCGAGTAGCTCTTTTCGTGCCAGCGGAAGCTACGTGGTGACTCCTGCCGGAGGACGGACGCCATTACCGGGGCAGCTGGAGCCTGGCGGCCCGCTGCTTTCCGCTAATAGCGACCCCGATAATATTCCCGCGGTACGAACACAGATTCAAACTCGATGTAGCGATGCTAACGTTAGCACACGGCGGCAGATATGTGATCATTAATCAATATTCACACGCACCGGAGACTCTTTGATTGTTGATGTTTAGCTGTTCACAGACCAAACTTAATTTGTACAAACTTAGAGTTAGTCCGGTCTGCTCTCTACCGCCCTCCGTGTCCCACTGACAACACATCAGAAACGGCTCGTATCTACAGTAAGAGCCGCACGGGGAGTTGATTTCAGCCGAACTGAAGAGTTTCTCCTAAAGACTGGAGGAAAAGCTCTGGGTTTATTTGTGAGAACATTTTCTCTGATTTGACAGATTTGTGAACAGAGTCCGGTGAAGCACTCTGACCTGCAGCCTTGAGCTCAGCTCGCATCATTTCTGTTAACCGTTAACTTGAGGGTTTAAGCTGAACATGTTTCACTTGTTCCACTAGAAGGACCGAAACAAACTCCTGATCTTTGCCCTCAGTTTGACCTTGTCAGCGGGCAGCAGTGATACAGCACAGCCGGGGACAGGTCACCTCGGCCCGCCAGTCAGGGTCAGGACAGACGGGGACCAGAAACTGACTGTTTGAATTTAACTAAATGTAAAATCTGTATCATCCAGACAGCTCAGACTAAACTCAAGGCCTCCATTAACCCTTTGTTATTTATAATGTATTTATTTCCCCTGACAACACACATGCACCCAGAGAGCCTTCACTTGTCCTTTTACTTTGAAAAACTAACGCTGTAATTTAAAAAGGCCTTAAAGGAAGAGGAAGTGATTCTGGAGAAAAAGAAATACACCCCTCCCTTCAGTGCCCTTTCAGAAGCTCCGCCCCCAAAATTCATGGACGCACATTACCAAGGCAACGAATGCAGAGTCTTCTACAAAGTGAAGTGAAGAAAAACAAACCATATAATATAAAACGTCAACAACCAACATACGAGCAAACAATAAACAACATGAACACAACACAGTGAAAACTACAGAGAGTTAGTGGTTTAGATTGTTTTTACTAAACTACAGTGACAGGGGAGGACTGCAGGTTTGTAGTTAAGATAACAAGGACGCTAACGTTAACTAGCATAGCATTTTCAATTATGTATCCAACCAAATAAATCCACTTGTGTTTTTAGAGATAAGTGTATTTCTTAATTCAAATTCCAGGTGTACAATGTTATTAACGTTACTAACGTTACTAATGTTACCATTTTGCAGACGATCAACATCAGTCGACATTAGCTCTACAGCTAAAGTGTCAATGTTAGCATTAGCCCCTGATGGCTCCATTTTCTTTGTGCTAAGATGATATTAGCTAGGGTAACACTGCCATAACCAGGACATAATTAAAGAATTATCTTTTAGAACATGAGACTGACTCATGAGACAACAGTGCGACATTCAGCTGAAATGGACCCATGTGATCTATGATGTCGTTAAACAGGAAACTTGTTGCAGTCACATGACCATGAGTCACAGAGAACGTCAGGAACTGATTTAAAATCACCTTGAGACAGTTTTCTGTTGTTGTGAAATCAGTTTATAAGGTTTTATCCCGTCTGTAACCGAACAATCAGCTGCTCTCAAGAGCGGAAACTTTCATCTCCAGTAACTAGTCCCCTCCTCTGTCTTATCTCCAGTAACTAGCCCCCTCCTCTGTCTTATCTCCAGTAACTAGCCCCCTCCTCTGTCTTATCTCCAGTAACTAGTCCCCTCCTCTGTCTTATCTCCAGTAACTAGGTGAACCAGGACTAATTAAAGGAAACAGTGGGTTTAATGGTTTTTCACACACATTCATCTTCTGCAGTATAAAGTTGTATTAACTGTGTGTGTGTGTGTGTGTTCAGAGGAGGGAGGGGGCGGAGTCTTCTCCGTCAGGTGCTGCATGATGAACGGCAGCAGCAGTGTCTCCACGGCTCAGAGCGCCAGGATCAAAAGCGAACCAGGTAACAAACCACATTCATCATCATCATCATCATCATCATCATGTTCAGACTTGAGCCATATCAGTGAGACACATCCTTCATCGACATGAACACACACTATAGTTTATTCTGATTGTCTCACACACACACACACACACACACACACACACACACACACACACACAGCACCAGATGTGGATTAATCGCTGCTGAAAATAGTGCTCAACAAACACTATGTTTCCTCCTAAGACTTTCCACTAATGGAACCATGAATTCAGTGTCAGTTTATTAGGAACACTGAGATAAATGACTCCTGTCAGTGTAACAGTCATCAGGGAGAGCTGAGAGCCACAGGCAGAGGGGGACAGTGTCGAGGGACGGACCAAGGGACTGCTGGTTCGAGTTCGATCATTTTAATAGAAAGCTGTGTGCATGTGTGCGCACGCAGATGACTGGACTAAGGAGGACTGTCTGACTCTGCTGGAGAGGATCCGCAATCTGCTGCCGGACGGAGACGCCATGAAATATAAAACCACAGAGTCGCACTTCGACTGGGAGAAAGTTTGTTTCGGCAGCTTCACCGGAGACATGTGTCGTCAGAAGTGGCAGAAAGTCTCAACTGAGGTACCAGATCCACACCAGATCCACACCAGATCCACACCAGATCTACACCAGATCTACACCAGATGTAAACCAGGTTTACACCAGATCTAGACCAGATCCACACCAGGTTTACACCAGATCCACATCAGATCCACACCAGGTTTACACCCGGTTTACACCAGATCCACACCAGATCTACACCAGATCCACACCAGATGTAAACCAGGTTTACACCAGATCTACACCGGGTTCACACAAGATCTACACAGGTGGTCACACCAGATCCACAGCCGATCTACGCCTGGTTTACACCAGATCCACACTAGAGCTACACCAGATCTACACCGGGTTTACACCAGTTCTACACGTTTATCACGTGATGTCAGAACCTGTTTGTGTTTCAGGTTCGTAAATACAGAACGATGACAGAACTGATCGTGGATGCCATTGAGTTCGTGAAGAACCCATACAAAGGAAAGAAACTGAAGGTGAGACTAAACCAGACTGCTGATCCTGGATCTGCTTAATGAAGTTAACACACAAACATTATGTGACCTCTCTGACCTCTTCCTGTTCAGACTCACCCAGACTTCCCTAAGAAACCTCTGACTCCGTACTTCCGCTTCTTCATGGAGAAACGAGCCAAATATGCCAAAATCCACCCGGAGATGAGCAACCTGGACCTGACCAAGATCCTGTCCAAGAAATACAAGGAGCTGCCCGAGAAGAAGAAGGTGATTTATTTATTGTGAGGCGGTCTAGAAAGTCCAAGTTCAGGTCTCATTCTGTAAAATGTTTTTCTTTATTTTCCTGCAGCAAAAATACATCACAGAGTTTCAACGAGAGAAAGAAGAATTCGAGAAGAACATGGCTCGATTCAAGTCAGTTCAATGCTTCAATAACCTTCATTAGCCTTCATTAGCCTTAGTTAGCTTTCATTAGCCTTCATTAACATTCATAAGCCTTTCATTCATTAGCCTTCATTAAAATTCATTAGCCTTCGTTGGCTTTCATTAACTGGGTGTTAGTTAAGTCAGTAAACTAACTCTAAACTAACTAAACACCACTTCAAATAAAGTGTTACCCTTTGAAGCAGTGATTATTAACTGGAGCCCCCCAGCCGGACCTCAGCCGGACTTCAGCCGGACCTCAGAATATAATGAACTGAGAGTAGGGATGACTCAGATGTTGTTGTCTCTCGTCAGTAAACTGAGAATCTGCAGTATCTGTCATCAGCTATTTCCTGTCTGATAATATGAAGAAATAAAAGCCTCATTAGACCTAAATAAATAATTCTTTTAATTTAAAATTTTAAAGTGCGTGTTCCTGCTGACTGACTGTGAACCCTTCAGAACAAACATAGCATATGCATTAGCAAGGCTAACGTCAGTTGACCTGCAGGGAGGACCACCCGGAGCTGATTGAGGAGAGGAAGAAGTCGGACCTGCCCGAGAAACCCAAGACCCCCCAACAGCTATGGTACAACCACGAGAAGAAGACCTACATGAAGCTGCACCCTGAGGTACGTACACCGCACCCTGATCTGAGGGGGGGCCACACACCCAGTCCTCCTCAACTGCATGAGAGTGTGGACAGATGTGAACAGATGTTGTGATGTCAATAATAATATATGATATACCAGACTTTCAGCTCCAGACCCTGGACCAGACCATAGCTCCTGCTTTACTGGTGTGGAGGACCATGTTTTGCCGTCTTGGTTTGTTTGTAATAACGGGGTTTTGAACAGGACCCGGACCTGAACTAAAAGCTACAGATCAGTGATCCTGGTCTGGACGAGATGAAGTGGACTACAGGTGTAAGGGTAACCTGACCCACCTGTCTGTGTGTTTCAGGTGAGTCAGAAGGAGCTGAAGGAGGCTCTGAGGAGACAGTGGTCCCAGCTGTCTGACAAGAGGAGACTCAAGTGGATCAGCAAGGCCCTGGAGCTCCAGAAGGACTACGAGGTACCAGACCAGACTGTACTGAATCAGACTAGACTGAACACTGACCCCGACTGAACTGGACCACACTGGACTGAGCTGAACCAGAGACCAGGTTCTCTATGGGATTCACTCGGGTCAGGTCCATATTACACCCAGGATCAGGATCATTCTGACTGGGATATTTCAGATCCTTAGAACCCGGAACAGGACAGGATTCTGGAGACCAGGTTCACCAGAGAGATGTTGATGTGTTGATTTTGTGTGTGTGTGTGTGTGTGTGTGTGTGTGTGTGTGTGTGTGTGTGTGTGTGGTGTGTTGTGGTGTGTGTAGGACAGTATGAGAGCATATCATGAGGCTCATCCAGATGTGAACTCAGACGATCATGTTCGGTCTGTCCTCACCAAAGCAGAGCGGCAGCTGAAGGACAAGTTTGACGGACGGCCAACCAAACCGCCACCGTGAGTCCACGAAACCAAGTTAACGAGTGTAACACTAACGAGAAACAGAGGGGCTAACTGAAACAGAGAGGCTAACAGAAACAGAAGCTAACAGAGGCTAACAGAAACAGAAAGGCTAACAGAAACAGAAAGGCTAACAGAAACAGAAGCTAACAGAGGCTAACAGCTGTGTGTCTGACAGGAACGGTTACTCTCTGTACTGTGCCGAGCTGATGGTCAACATGAAGGATGTCCCGAGCACTGAGCGCATGGTGCTCTGCAGTAAACAGTGGAAGATGATGACGCAGAAGGAGAAGGACATGTTTCAGAAACGCTGCGAGCAGGTGAGCATCAACATGCTGACACGCCAACAGACAGGATGTAGTGATACCTGTCACACCTGCTCATCTCACCTGTCTGTCTGTGTCCGACCAGAAAAAGAAGCAGTACGACATTGACCTGCAGAGGTTCCTGGAGGTATGTCAGCATCAGCCATCAGCTGATGATCCTGCACACACACACACACACACACACACACACACACACACACACACACACACACACACACTCTGGGCTGATGGGAAAAGGTCAAACATTCAGACAGTAGAAAAGATGCAGTAAAAATGAATGATATCGGCCTGTCTGTTCAGAGTCTCCCGGAGGAGGAGCGAGACCGAGTCCTGACTGAGGAAAAACTGGGCGGGTCCAGATTGGGAGGGGGCGTGGCCGCTAGCCCACACAGAGCCAAGTCTCCTTCTGTCAAGGTCTGAAAGCTCCTCGAATTTTATTAATGCATCTGGAATCATCTCTGACAGTAAATTAACCTGGAGGTGATTTTCACTTCAGGAGCGGTGTCGGGAGGCGGAGCCAGAGCCGTGGGTACCTGCTGGAACGCCAAAAGAAAGACGGGATGGGAAGAAGACAGCAAAGCTTCCAGAGACGCCAAAAACAGCTGAGGAGATGTGGCAGCACAGTGTGATCGGAGACTACCTGGCTAAATACAGAGTGAGTGTGATTCTGTTTATCTACAACTTAAATGTTTTCATTAGTTCATTAATCAAAACATTTAATTAGAAAAGTCTCAGTCAGAATTAGTGACATCACAGAACTGTCAGAGCAGATGTTAACCAGGCTTTTATTGTGAAGGAGCTGACAGTCCACAGAACTGGGTCTGAGTTTTTTGTAGGATCAGTCAGTGAAATGTTTAACGGCCTGTTGGTCGACTGCTGGTCGGCTGTTGGTCCACAGAGCGACCGCAGGAAGGCGCAGGCGGCAATGGAGGCGGCCTGGAAGTCCATGGAGAAGAAGGAGAAGATTCCCTGGATCAAGAAGGCGGCCGAGGACCAGAAGCGTTACGAGGTTCAGTACCAACCTGTGGTCAGTGAGCCACGCCCCTCCCCCCACACTGCGCCCCCCCTCCCCCACCCTCACCCCCCTGGCTCTCTGGCTCTGTGTGTGTGTTGTACTGACTGTTGGTGTCCTGCAGAGGGAGCTGTTGGAGATGAGGGCTCCACCCGCAGCTCAGGGTCAGAGGAAACCCAAGTTTGATGGAGAACCAAAGAAACCTCCAGTGTGAGTGTGATCAGGACAGATGTTGTCCAGCTGTGATGTCACACGGCAGGAAGTTGCAGCTGATGTTTAAACAGCAGAAACTCTTCATCACTTCTTTTGATTCATTTAAAGATCAGCTGTTGTTCACTTGAGATAATGAAGTGATTATTAAATGATAAATATCAGTCGATGAATGAAGCAAGAAGAGTTCAGGTCAGAGGTCAACAGTGTGTTTATTACTCCTTTTAAACAGACAATTTAAAGACTAAACGGGCCTATATTAAGCCACGCCCCCTGTCGTTTCATCCAATAGGAGCGGGTATCAGATGTTCTCGCAGGAGCTGCTGACCAATGGCGAGCTGAACCACTTCAGCCTGAAGGAGCGGATGGTGGAGATCGGGAAGAGGTGGCACAAACTGAGCCAGAGTCAGAAAGACAAGTACAAGAAGCTGGTGGAGGAGCAGCAGGTGGAGTACAAGGCCGAGCTGGAGGCCTGGGTCAAGGTGAGCTGCTGCTCAACGGCACTGCGGCACTCAGAGCATCACACTGTTATAATGAATTAGTGATGATGGACTGATTACAGCGCCCTCTGGTGGCGTCACCTGGTTACAGCCACTAAAACTACAAAAGTCACATGTTGGATAAAAACAGAAAACGATGATGATGATGATGATGATGATGAGGAGGAGTTTCACCTCCCTCCCTCTCTTCTTCTTCCAGTCTCTGTCTCCTCAGGATCGAGCCGTCTACAAAGAGTTCTCCTCCTCGGTGAGTTTCCTCTTCTGTTTCTTCCCACTAAGCTAACATAATATTAGCATGAGTAACTTAACTAAGCTAACACAATATTAGGATGAGTAACCTAGCTAAGCTAACAGAATATTAGCATGAGTAATTTAACTAAGCTCACATAATATTAGCATAAGTAATCTGAACAAGCTAACATAATATTAGCATGGGTAACCTTACTAAGCTCACATAATTAGCTTAATTCTCCATAACCTAATAGGGCACAAGCTAACATAACATTAGCAGGGTTTAACAACCAGATAGACTACTGAGATGTCAACATTACATTAGCACGGCTGACTGCTAAACTAATGTTACACCTCAACAAAAGTTTTACATGTATTTTTTTTTTACTTTTGTGATGATGTGTAATTTTAGGGCTGAAACAATGTTTATCTGCAATATGTATCGTTATTATTATAGTATTGCAAAATTAAATAAAGTTGTAAAGTTTTAATAAAATGAAGGCGGAACTACTGGTGCAGCTGCTCGACGAACAACAGTTAGCTGTTAGCTGCTAGCAGAAAGTTGAACTGGTTACCAGTCAGCTGCGCCATTAATTTATGCATTTTGGCCTGTGAGATATAATAAAACCTGTGTCCAGATGGTGGACCTTCACTGCCGTAAACTGTTTATTTACATATGCACAACTCGTTTCTACTAGACTCAGATTGTGTGGTGACAGGGTGTGACTAATGAGGCATATTGTTAGCATGGCTAAGCTAACGTGGAATAATACTGAATGTATTTGTGCAGAATGGGTCGTCAGAACTATTTTAATCTTAATTTTATCCTTTAAAGGAGAACCTGTACTGTCTAAGCTAATGTAACATTAGCATTGTTACAACAATCCTTCACAGGCTAACTGAATTAAGCTAAGTGACTCTGCAGGTTACTGGTAGTGTGTCAACTTGTTTGTTTGTTTGTTTGGTCCTTGGTCAGAAACGTCGCAGCACCACTAAAGCTCGCAGCAGCCCCGGAGCTAAAGTCCGTGTGACGGCGAAGGGGAAGGCAGTAGGTTCGAGAGCCACAACACCGGGGGTCGGGGTGGGCAAGAGGGCCATGGCGTACCGAGCCAAGGTAACACACTACACAACTGGACACACACACACACTCTCTCACACACACAAACACACACTTCACAACATGCGAACACAGAAATGAAACATAAAAATATAAAGTTTATTTCTTTTAATTAATTCAGTCCTTGTTAACCAGTCAGTGTTGGTCATCTCTAACGACCTTCTGTGATTGGTCGGTGGAGGGTGGTCTGTCAGGCTGTGCCACATAAACCTGCCTGTGTGTTTACAGCAGGATATGTCTGACACAGACGAGGAGGAAGAGAAGAGTGACTCCTCCGACTCTGATGAAGATGACGAGACGTCAGGAAGCACAGACAGCGACGATGATGATGATGAGGTGACGGCTTCAATCTGTGATTGGTTGATTGGATTAATAAAAATGATTGTGGCACTAAAACATAAATATATTACACACATATGAAGAGGTTTAAACCTTTAAGATTTATCAAATAACTCACTACAAATATAATCTATGAATAAATTAATGGATTATAATATATTGATTTGTTCTTTAAAACAAATTTAAGGAGCTTTTTAAGGGCTGAAAAACACTTAAATGTGTCTTCTGTCCTTAAAGCCATCTCCTTTCAGGTAATAATAACTTTTAATGTTATTTGGTAAAATTTAAGTTTTTTTTACCCCTTAAAGACTTTAATAGAAGACTAATAAAAATTACCAAATGACATGAAATCATCCCTGAATTCTAATGTAAATCACTGAATTCAGCTTCTTCAGTATAAATTAAGGGAAGTGGTGACTTGAATGTTTTATAAACACCTTAATCTATCACAGTTACTTTAGCCTTTAATAATTCCCTTATATTAACCACTTAAAGACCATAATGACATTGAGGGTAAATTAATGGAGTTGTAAGGTAAAAGTTCAGACTGTTGGTTGATGGGAGTGGACGACTACAAACACGTCACAACAACCCAGAATCACCATGGCAACCATCTTGTAACAGCTGAGCAAACACATTCCACACGAGTTAACTTGAAGTTTTTTGTGGTTTCCTCAGAACGACGACGAGGATGATGAGGATGATGAAGATCAAACGTCCTCTGAGGAATCCAGTGACTCGGACTCGGACTAGCTCCACCCCTTCTTCCTCATTGGAGAGGACAGGCTGTGCAGGCCACGCCTCCTCACGTGCCAATCATCCAGGCGGACCAATGAGAAATGGTGACATCACACCGCTGTCAGGGGGCGGAGCCTGATGGAGCATTTTGTTACTTCTGTTTGTTTCTGTTTTTTATTGAGTGTTTGTTGGTTTTTATCTGACGGACGTTTTAGCCGGGCGGAGACGGGGTGAGTTTTTTTTTTTGTTTGTTTTTGTTGACGGTGGGCGGGGTTTGTACAGAGTTTGCAGGCAGAGGGGAGGGGCCTATGGTTGTCATTAGCTACCACTGAGGGAGGAGTCAGTGTTCATCCTCCAATCAGCCGCCTGCCTGACAAAATTATTAACAAATAAATGCACTTTTTCTCACGTGTGTTGTGATTTTTTTATGTGACAAAAACAACCACAGTCTCACCTGTGGACCAGGAAGTCAAAGACGACACAGAGCCAGGTGCGTTGGCTTCAGGTTTTATAGACATTTGAATTAATAGATTTATAGAATATAAACAAGCTTCTTCCCTCAGACGTCAGTCACCTGATACACAAATAAATAATCTGACCTTTGACCCCGACAGCAATCACCCACACATTATCCTAACTGATCCTCCAGGCCTTTGGCACACATACCATGTTACCATGGTAACACTCACCCCTCCTGTCCTCCACAGTCATGTGCACTCAGAGAAAACTACAGTACCCATCGTAATTTTAGAGTCCCACACATGCACCATCATAATCGTTACCACGGTTACCAAACATTATAAAAAGGGACTCCCCCCTCCCCCCTGAAAAAAAAAAGATATGTTTGTTCATTCACACAGTGACCAATCAGATCACAGCCTGAACTCAGCCAACATTACACGTTCAAAGACCAGTTCACCTGCCGACCACGTTCCAAATCTCATCAGCTCACAAGGTCCTTGAACTCAGCAAGAAGATTTAATTTAACCAAAAGAAAAGTTTGACTGAGGTCACGTCATATTTCTATCAACAGGTTTATAGATGAACATAAAGGGGAGTTAACATTCCACAGTTCCATTAAAGCTGATTCTTCTTAAAAAAATGAGCTGCATTCTCGAGCAGAAACCAAATAATAACATGAAACGTTTTAGATCTTCGCAACAGGGAAGAGACTCTGGTGGCTGCTCTGATCCAGACTGAGGGCTGATGTGGAAAGTGGTCTGACAGCAGCAGGACGTCCTGTAGAGAGCTGTTGGTCTGAAGGTCCTCCTGAAACTGATCACTATGATCAGATTATCAATTGATCAGATTATTAACAGATCACTGCGATCACTGATCAGCTGGTTCATAAAACATCAGTTTCTCTCGAGGTGACGTGATGTTTTATAGACAAACAGATTGATAATCAATAATAAAAATGATCATAAGTTGGAGCTGTGATGTCAATGAACAGGTGAATCCTCACAGACGGCACATCCTGTTCTGAACACACACACACACACACACAGGGCGTCATAGTGGCACGTCCAGCAGCTTCTTGTGCAGGTACTGCTTCACCTCCTCGATGCCATTCAGCTTCTCCAGCTCGTGGTACGGCAGCTGAGAGAGAGAGACCACAGGTCACATGATGAGGAGACACTCCGCCTAGCTTAGCACAAAGACTGGAAGAACTGTTAGCCTAGCTCCATCAAAAGAGGAATCACCCTCCAGCTGATTTATACATCAGGTGTTTAGTCAACAGGTGAACACAGGTGTAGAAACAGACAGGAGCAGGTAGTGCTGGACTTCAGACTGATGACCAGCTGATTGATGGTCTAACACATATACACCTGCCCAGCACTGACCTGCAGGATGATGTATCCCAGCAGCCTCAGGTGGCGGTCTCTCATGGCGCGGGAACCGACCAGCACCTCTGAGTTGTGGCAGTAGTGCCACTTGTCGTTGACGGACATGATGACCCTGTGGAGACAAGAACTGGATCAGGTTCTCTGAAGTGGTTCTGGTTCTGTGAGGAGTACTCGGGACTCTGAGGTGGACTGACCTCCGGATCTGTCTCTGGTCTGTGGGGGGGTTGTCGGGGTCAGGTCTGTCAGGGGGGTGGAGCTGTGGCGGTGATGGGGGCCCTCTGTCGGCCCCGGACCCCTCAGGATACGTCACGCCATCATAGAACCCCGGCAGCTCACAGTCTGTCCCCTGGCCCCCGGGGGCCCCCGTCCCCCCCTCATCCTCCAGGATCTTCCCAATGGAAAACTGGAAGAGTGAATCAGGGGCTGCGGCTCCCGCAGGTCCCTGAGCCCCTGGCGGGGCGAGGCCATCGGAGGGGGGGCTGCTGAGCGTGGAGCTGTCCTGGCTCTCCAGCGAGTGCTCTTTAGGCAGGCTGGAGTAGTACTCTGCCGCAGGGATGTAGTAGGGGCCGTAGTCCAAGGGGCCCCCGTTAGTCCCAGGCCGAGGGGGTCCTGAGGACACCGCAGCCCCCGTTGTGCTTCGGATTTGGTGGGGCATGAAGGACCTGGGCTCCATCGCGCCACTCAGAGCCTCACCCACCTGACATGGCTGCTCGCCGCCCTCCTCCAGCGCCGCAAACGGAGAGAACCTCTGGAACTCTGAGGTCACCACGGCAACCGCACCGTCACCCGGCTTGGTAGCTACGCCGACACAGGAAGGAGGAACAATGCTCAGAGCCAGACCAGCTGCGGTCCTGATGGGTAGAACCCGACCAGAACCGTCCATCCACAACACAAAGTCTGGGGAACAGGAGAGTCAGGTTAGAACAGTACTCAGTGTAGTACTCTGAAGTACTCAGAGTGTAGTACTCAGAGTGTAGTACCTGTGTAGTATCCTGGGGCGAGTACTTCATCCTGTTTGTAGTTCTGTTCTCCGACCAGCTGACGTAACGCCTCGGCCACCAGACCTTTGTAACTGAGAGAAGACGAACTGATCAGAACCTGCTGAGATCAGACTGACACCCGTCAACAGATCAGCAGATCAGTACAGGTGCGTGCCCGTGTGCAGGTGTGTACATGCAGGTGAGTGTTACCTGTACTTGCGGTTGACCTCATCAGCGGTCAGAGCGTGGTCAAACATCAGGACCTTGTGGGCGTCCTGCAGCCGGGGTCCGGTGTAGTCACGGTACTCCAGCTCCACCGCGGCGTCCAGCAGCGACAGATACCTCCGGACGATCAGAGCGTAGGGGCTGTCTGTGGGGGAGGGGCAAAGAACAGCTGGTTCAGTGGGAGGACTGGGCGTTGAACTGGATGAACTGGTTGAACTGGTTGTATTGGTACTGACTGGTGACGTTGCTGATGAAGGCGGAGGAGAAGACGCGGTGCAGCACCAGGCCGGGGAAGTGTCCCAGCTGGAACAGAGACATGAGGATGTTGACGGTGGCGAGTGGCGAGCTGAGCGCCTTTAGCTCCACCACCTCCTCCAGCCGAGTGAAGAACTGCTGCTCGCCGGACGGACGGTAGCTCATCCTGCTGAACGGGAACACCAGCTTCTGGATCACCTGAGGACAGAGACAACACACCTGAAGAGTCCCGTTCACAAGCCCTGGAGACCACGTGACGGCCGGCTTGCCCTCACCTTACTGTCCAGGTACTCTGCCTTCTTCACCAGGAAGTCTGCGATGGTGTCGAGGAGGCGGGTCTCTCTTAGTCGATGGCGAGCGACGTATTTGGCGATCAGAGCCATCGTGTATGGTGTGATACTGTCCACCTTCTTCGGCAGCTCCTCTGACAGAGAGTGACAATCAGCAGGTCACATGGTCAGACAGCCGAGTGCTCAATGGCTCCTTACTCTTTTTCTGACAGACAGGTGATCACATCAGCTGACTGATCGAAACTCACCTGCCAGGCTACTGATGAACCTCTCCTGTCTGTTCTGGTAGAACAGGTGAGAGCTGAAGATCAGCTCCAGACTCTTGTTGCTTGCCTCTCGAGCGCATGCCGCCAGCATCTCATCCAACAGCGCCATCTCCTGGTCACGGACGCCACTGACGCTCGCCAGAGTGTGTTTGACCAGGCGCAGGATCTTCCTGGAGACACACAGGTAACATCAGTCTCTCTCACTCACTCTCTCTGTCACACACACACACACACACACACACACACACACACACACACACACACACACACACACACACACACACACACCTGTTGGCAAGCAGCTGTTCTGGGTTTGGAGGCGTGGTGTTGCTGGCGGTGGTGGCGCCCCCTGCAGCAGCAGCAGGTTCCTGCAGCGAGCGCCACTTGAGTCTGTAGTAGGAGAGCAGCAGGAAGAGCGTCTGCGGGTGGCGCTCTCGCTCCAGGTTCTTCTCCAGGCCGGCGAGGCAGGCCTCCGTCAGCGGGTGCTGGCTGCCCGGGTGGAGCTTCATGCTGGAGCTGAACACCATGGACACGTCCTTCTGGTTAAACTGGTTCAGTCTGGACTGAGACTCCGCCTCCAACACCTGGACCACCTGAGAGTCGCTGGGAAGACCTGAACGTGCGATGATGATAACGTGAGTTAGAGTGTGAGACAGGTGAGCTGTGGTGTAATGATGTTATCAAGGCAGGACAGCATCTAGCTTCAGCTACAGGTACGCCGAGACACACCTGAACCTCACCTGAGGGAAGGGGTATAAAGAGCATTAACCAGTCAGAGACCGGTGTTGTGTTTCATTACGGCGACTCACCGAGCGCCGCCACGGCGTACAAACAATTGACGATGCTGAAGTTGTCAAACTTGCTGCAGTCGTTGACGATGGCGTTACAGAGTGTCTGGAAGTCCTGATGGTCCAGGATCTGACGTCCGTCACCGCCCTCAGCTCCTCCCCCTCCTCCTCCTGAGGCCTCGGTGTCGTCCCCTCCGGTTCGCGGCGGCTGCGTGGCCTGCAGCAGCTGCCCGATCTTCTGCAGGGCGACGGGGTAGTGGTTGTGGGAGATCTTGGCAGGGTTCTGGGTGACCCATCGCAGAACCTCGTCAGGCCGCCGTGAGCGCTCGATCAGACGCTTCATGGTGAAGAACGTGTCATAGCTCATCTTCTCGTGGATGAAGTTCCACGTCTTTTTCTTGCTGCTGGGGGCCGCAGCCCCTCCACCTGGAGCCCCTCCTCCGTATGTATGAAAATGGGTGTGGTGCTGGTAGTGGGGGGGCAGTGGGGGCGGGGCCAGGTGGGCGGGCTGCGGGTGGGGGTGAGGATGGGGGTGAGGGTGGTAGTGGTGATGGAAGTGTGCTCCTCGGTGGGAGTCGGGGCGGCCCTGGTACAGAGGGTAGGCGGGGGGAGGCGGAGCCGGGGGCGGGTGGTGGGGGAGGTGAGGGCGTAGGAGGGTACTTGGGCTCAATCACGACAGCCCCGACCCTTCGCCCCTGTTTAACCCCACCTCCTCCCCCACCTCCTCCCCCTCTTCCCCCGCGGTGCTGTAGAAGGGCCGCGGTGCGTTACATGGCAACAGACTGAGCGGTGCGGTGGGGGCAGCAGGGAGGGAGGTGGTGAGCTCGGCTCAGGAGGCGCCACCCAGTGGACAAACACAGCATAGTCTGACAGCCAGGACACCTGGAGGCAACAGGACACCGCTCCTACAGAGAAGGAGAAGGAGAAGAAGAAGAAAAACTTAAATGGTCCACTTCAAAACTTCTAACAAATTACCAGTGGACAATTAAAACCCCACAATCAAAAAGAAAAACATCAACAACAACAACAACAACAACCCACTCCTACCTACAAGTTAAAAAAACTAAAAGCTGAGCTGTAGTGAGGAAGGAGAAGAAGAACAGCTGGATTTTAATCTGCACAAATTCATCTAACTTTAAAATTATCAACAACATCATCAAAATGAGTTTCCACATGAAACATTATAAAAACTGGGTCTGAAGCTCATCTCCTCTGACTTCCTGGTTGAGAAAACCTGGATCTTTAGCCCCGCCCACCACCTGCTGGCTCCAGGTGGACAGGTGACAGAGCAGAGAGCATCAAGATGGTGAGAGGAGGAAACATCAGAGAGACTCAGCCACATGTTTGAGCCTCAGTCAGACACAGACTCAGAGGAGGAGTCTGAGACCAGAACCAGAGACTAGCAGACGGGTCAGAACCGTCAGCACAGTTAGCATCTTTTCAGAACAGTTAGCATCTTTTCAGAATTATTAGCGTAGTTAGCATCTAATGGGAGCTGGTGGAGGTCTGAACAGTCTGAAGGAGGCGGATTGCACAGACTCACTGAGTCATACTGTTTATACAGGAAGTGCCAAAAGCTGCTGAACTACAACAACAAACCAATGACTCACAGAGTCAAACTGATCAGAACCAACATGGCTCTGGACCCGAGCTGCAGCCAGACATGATTCAAACATTGTTCTCATCATCAGTTAATCTGCAGATAAGTGATGGTTCTGACCACCTGCTGCTGGTCAAATACCAGGAAGTTCTCCTGAAAACCAACCAATCATTCTGTTCTGTTCAGGATCTGTTGCATCTCATTACACATCAGCAAATAACAAAGACTGAAGACGTAAACAAGGTAAACAAATCTGATACCTGTGACATGTTGTCTTCACATGAGAACGACAGGTCCTGTGTTTACGTCTTCATAGACAGATAGATACTTTATTTATCCTCTAGGGGAAATTCATGTGTCCAGTAGCTCATTAGTAATAATAATAATAATAATAATAAACAGTAATAATTAAATCAGTCCACTTCCTTTGGCTGAGGGGTTCTAGTGGATTTATCTACTGAACCTTTAGTTCAGATCACCATGTCTGAGACTTTGACCAGATCAATACCTCTGAATCAGAACTGATCATGATCAATCGATTAATAAGCCTGACAGCTAGTCACTCACACTCCCTGTCTACCTGCACCCTCCCCCCACCGGACGACCTGTCAGCTGACCTCAGACCACAGGCCGACAGGCTAACAGCATATACCAGCCAGTTAGCCGGTTAACATATACCCCCATCCCCAAGCGCAGTGACAGATACTTCACCACTTATGTCATATACATATGATGACGTCATGCTTTAGGTGACGTACTTGTAGTGTAGTTTGAGGCTAATCAGGTAGCTCCCATACTAATGCTAACCGGCTGTCACTTAGCAGCCCGGCTAACAAGGCTAGCGGCAGCATGCCGGGGGATTCACTCAAACACTACGACAGACACAGTAAAGCTAACTGATGCTACATGCTTCACTAAGTTAAAACAGACAGTGTGTGAGCTAAGCTAAGTTAGCTGTCTGATCTGGTCTGTTAGCCTATTAGCACGTTAGCATCGGTCTGTCCTTCTCCCAGCAGCGCTGACGGATAACCTGCTAACTACCCGGGCCAAACTCGGGCTAAACCCGGGTTAACCGGCCTGTCTGTGCCCGGCAGTGACGGGGTGTTACCTCATAGCTCAGTAACACCGGCAGCTCCGCTCTGCTGAAACACTTGAGGCCGCAGAGAGTGCGGTTTCAGCGGGGAAACAGGCAGCGGTCAGCCGCTTCATTCCTCCGCACAGACCGCAGCCATCATCGGCTACCCGGCATGCAATTGGAGCGTGAGGGTGGGGGTGGGGGGGTGGCACGGCGACACCTGGCGGCTGCTGTCTGTCACCTGTAACCTCCTTATTTATTGTGATAATTTATAAATAAACAGGTAGAGAGTTTATTAGCTGTAATTCATTACTCTGTTAATGGTTAATAAATCAGTTAAGAGATATTAATAAAAGCAACTGTTGTGTTAAACTCCTCCTCTTTATTAGACAGTGAACTGTTAACATTTGCTGTTTATTATTCAGTGTGAAACCCTCACTTCTTATTCATCGTTTACCAACACTTAATACAGACACACTGATGCTACAGAGCCTCCGTTCAAACCACAGGAACTTCTTCACTATTAAAGTTCAGAAAAGCATCAGGTTTACACACAGATCAACAGTCAGTCAGACTCACTTAATAAATAACATGTTATTATGGTACTGTTATTAACATGTGCATGTTAATAATGGTACTCTGTATGAACTTATAGTCATAATCCGGCTCCTGGGCCGTACTAAAACACTACAATAACAATAATAATAATGATCATCATTAATAATAATTGGGATTATTATTATTAATATGATGATGATGATGATGAGGGGAGTCAGAAGTGAAGTGAATGACTTTATCTATACAAACATTAATTTGACTCGTTAAAAATGAGCTGTCTGTCCGTCAGGTTAGACGTGTGTCTCTGCGGGGGTTCGGCAGGGGGCGCTGTCTCCTCCATAAACATGTGCACCTCCGTGAAGAAGCAGAGGACGCTAGAGATGGCGGAGCGGTGTGATTACAGAACAGAAACACTGAACTTGAGTTGTGTTTAAAGGCCGTTGTTGTTGTTTTTCTGCCGGTCAGTGTCGGTGTGTTCCCGGGTTGAGGATGGCCCATCGCTACCTGCGGCTGTCCGCGGGCTGCAGGAACATGTTCCGGCTGCTGCTACCCTCCAATGCTCCGGCCAGGCTGGTAGGTGGAAAACATGCTAACATGCTAACTGTGCTAACCGGGACAGCGGCCAAAACAAGCCCAAACACTGACCCCGTTGACGGGCTGACAGACCAGCACAGACCGGCAGGGTGAACGGCAGGACCGGTGTATCTAACAGACATGAGTTACCTGTGTCACGGCAGGTAGACTCACCTGTGTGACGGTTCTGGGCTGTTGTCATTGACTCACGGAAAAACCAGTCACCTCTGTAAACACTGCAGCGGGGCAGAAGTACTCAGTCAGCTACTCCAGTAAAAGTACAAATACCACACAGCAGAAGTTACGTGTCACAGTTAGGGCTGTGGCGGTGGAATAAAGGCGGTAAACATCACCTTATCTCAGGTACACAGTCCCAGATAGACTGGCCCTGAAAGCTTGACTCAAACACCCGAATAGTTTGGATTTAGGTTCAGTTTTGTCTGCCTCCTGGACTGGCCCTGGCTCAGTTTCTGAACTGGTCCTGGACTGGTCCTGGGTCAGATTCTTGGAGTCAGTAATGAGCTGTGTTGACTGTCTGATTATTAACAGTGCATTAACATGTGGGGAGAGGCTCGTTAGTGTCTATGCTGCAGCTGGATTCACTTATTTTCTTCATAATGTGATTTAAATGATACACCAACATCTAGGTGCAGTTTGTGTTGCTGTTATCTGATGTCAGCCACGTTTGATGTGTGTTAAGGTGATGTGCTCCACCATGGCCGGACAGGTAGGGAGTGGGCGGAGTCTGCTGAGCGAGCTGCTGGGAGCATACAGGAGGCTGAGCTCCAGACCACCTAAAGGTACAAAACTGTGTGTGTGTTGATTTATATGTATCTTTGTGAGGGCGTTAAAGTGGGGACATTATCTCCATTTTTCACATTAGGGCGGTCCTTCAGTCCTGGTTTTGGGGTTAGTCTCATGTGTAGGTTTGGTTTAGGGAGGTGTGGGGTCAAGATTTTGTTTCAGGGTCCTCACAAGTCCAGAGGTACAAACATCTGTTTTTCTTTCTTTAGGTTTTGAGAAATATTTTCCAGACTCCCAGAAGCCTGCAAAAAATTCTGAGGCTGAAGCTGCAACTAAAGGTAGAAACCTGCTGACACCTGCTGACACCTACTGACACCTACTGACACCTACTGACACCTGCTGACACCTGCTGACACCTGCTGACACCAATGTCACCTGCTGGCACCTGCTGACACCTGCTGACACCTACTGACACCAATGTCACCTGCTGACACCTGCTGACACCTGGTAACACCTACTGACACCAATGTCACCCGCTGACACCCGCTGACACCTGGTAACACCTACTGACACCAATGTCACCTGCTGACACGTGGTAACACCTACTGACACCAATGTCACCCGCTGACACCCGCTGACACCAATGTCACCTGCTGACACGTGGTAACACCTACTGACACCAATGTCACCCGCTGACACCCGCTGACACCCACTGACACCAATGTCACCTGCTGACACCTGCTGACACCTGGTAACACCTACTGACACCAATGACACCAATGACACCTGCTGACACCTACTGACACCTACTGACACCAATGTCACCTGCTGACACCTGCTGACACCTGGTAACACCTACTGACACCAATGTCACCCGCTGACACCTGGTAACACCTACTGACACCAATGTCACCTGCTGACACGTGGTAACACCTACTGACACCAATGTCACCCGCTGACACCAATGTCACCTGCTGACACCTGGTAACACCTACTGACACCAATGTCACCTGCTGACACCCGCTGACACCTGCTGACACCTAGTAACACCTACTGACACCAATGTCACCCGCTGACACCTGCTGACACCAATGTCACCCGCTGACACCCACTGACACCCACTGACACCTACTGACACCCGCTGTCACCTGCTGACACCTGGTAACACCTACTAACACCAATGTCACCTGCTGACACCTGGTAACACCTACTGGCACCAATGTCACCTGCTGACACCTGGTAACACCTACTGGCACCAATGTCACCTGCTGACACCTACTGACACCTACTGACACCAATGTCCCCCGCTGACACCCACTGACACCCACTGACCCCTACTGACACCCGCTGTCACCTGCTGACACCTGGTAACACCTACTGGCACCAATGTCACCTGCTGACACCTACTGACACCTACTGACACCAATGTCCCCCGCTGACACCCACTGACACCCACTGACCCCTACTGACACCCGCTGTCACCTGCTGACACCTGGTAACACCTACTGGCACCAATGTCACCTGCTGACACCTACTGACACCTACTGACACCAATGTCCCCCGCTGACACCCACTGACACCCACTGACCCCTACTGACACCCGCTGTCACCTGCTGACACCTGGTAACACCTACTGGCACCAATGTCACCTGCTGACACCTACTGACACCTACTGACACCAATGTCACCCGCTGACACCTGCTGACACCCGCTGACACCCGCTGACACCCGCTGACACCAATGTCACCTGCTGACACCTGCTGACACCTACTTACACCTACTGACACCTACTGACACCTATTGGCGTCCACAAATTTGGTGAATCCAGTTTGTGTTCTAGTATTTTACAAACAGTATATAAATTAAATACACATAAGTGAAGTATTGGTTCTGAGTTGTGTTGATGTGTGACCCCGGTACAGTTTCTGTAACCTTTGATGTTCATGACGTCTTTTGACATCACTGTTATACTGTTTGTTTGCTTTTCAGACAACAAACCTGCCAATGCTCAGAGAGCCTCGGGGAAGTCAGGAGGAGGAGGAGGAGGAGGAGGAGGAGGAGGGGGGAAAAGAGGAGGTCGTAAGGAGGAGTCACACTGGTACAGCCGTCTGCAGAAGGTCCGTGTGTGAGGAGTCTGACTGCCGTTCTTCTCGTCTGACAGACGTTGTGTTATTCAGCTGTTACCTGTGCTCACCTGGGCAGACAGGTGTGTGTTCTCTGAGGTGTGGGTCTGAGCTCGGGTTCTGTTGGTTTCAGGGGGACGTTCCTTGGGACGATAAAGAGTTTCGGATGTACTTCCTGAGCGGAGCAGCGTTCTGGACCACTGTCACTTACTACTTCTTCTTCAGGGATGGAGGACGAGAGGTCACCTGGAAAGACTTTGTCAACAACTACCTGTCCAAAGGAGTGGTGAGGAGTGATGATGTCATCACTGTAACATGTCAAACCACGGCCCCCTGTGTCCATCTTAACTGTGGAGAACCAATCAGAAAAATTGATTTTCACTGTTCCTCAGGTGGACCGGTTAGAAGTCGTCAACAAGCGTTACGTCAAAGTGGTTTTCTCTCCTGGGAAGACGCCGGTGGATGGGGTGAGTGAGAAGCTCCACCTCTCGTCTTGATGTATTGATGTCTGGTCTCGTGGGTTAGAGGCGTGGTCAGGTGAGAGCTTCGGTTCCTGTTTCGGACAGACTTGATGTTATTGTGTGAATGACATCGTGCAGAATCAGCAGGTAAAGTCAGAAGGTTGTTGAGTGAAGCTGAAGTTTGTCAGAAGGCTGATTGTCGCACCACTGGTCCAACAAATAATACAGATGTGTCTTCAACATGTCTCTTTCCCTCTCGACATCAGACGACAAGAAGTTCAAACACGCGTCTCTCCATCGTTTCAAATTCTCGTTAATGTCCATAAAATCAGCTTAAACATTCAAACCAGTGTCCATCAACAGTACGGCCGGCCCACAGCAGCCTAACCCTGTCAGATAGGAGAATCAGACGACACAGAAAATGTCACGTTTACCACAGTACACACAAAGACAATCAGATGTCATGACACTGTGCGCCTGTATATTCCTCTCTGACCCACAATGCCACAGGCATACAGTACAGTAAAGTCTGGTCATGTGACTCTGACTCTTCAAAATAAAACAAAACCTTCCATGAAGGGCATCTAATTTAAAACCAAAATGATTTTAACTGGTCTATTTTTAAACAAACCTTTTTACTTAATTTTACTCTTAAATGATCATAAATTTATATGAAACAGTTGAAACATGAAAATCAAAGAATGAAACCTGTCTCTCACCATATGTCCTCACAACACAGTTCAACATGTCAGCCCACAGTGTTTCCATAGAAACAGTTTATGTATATTGTGGTTAGCTCCATAGGACTCAGGTCCAGGTCTGGAGACTGCTCTGGGAGCTTTGGCAGGATTCAGATAGTTTGAGACGTCCACCTCGTGGACACACTAGCTGACAGACTTCAGTTCAGTCTGGTTCTTAATGGTGACCTGCAGCAGCTGGAGGACCAACATGGAGCTGACTCCTCCTCTTTGTCTCCTTCAGCAGTATATCTGGTTCAACATCGGCAGCGTGGACACGTTTGAGAGGAACCTGGAGACGGCTCAGTACGAGCTCGGCATCGAGGGGGAGAACAGACTGCCGGTGGTTTACTCCACCGAGAGCGATGGGTGAGCGCTGAGGCGTTCACATTCACTTCTGGTTCAGCTCTGGTTGGTTCCTACATGTGACTCTAAAGTCTGTCCTTCCTGTCCAGCACTTTCCTACTCAGCATGCTCCCCACGGTGCTCATCATCGGCTTCCTGCTGTTCATGCTGCGGCGGGGACCGGCAGGGGCGGGGCGTCCTGGCCGGGGGATGGGCGGACTGTTCAGCGTCAGCGAGACAACGGCGAAAATCCTGAAAGACGAGATCGATGTGAAGTTCAAAGACGTGGCGGGCTGCGAGGAGGCCAAGCTGGAGATCATGGAGTTCGTCAACTTTCTGAAGAACCCCAAACAGTACCAGGACCTTGGCGCCAAGATCCCTAAGGTGAGGGGGGGTTGACTGTTTTTTCACTGTTTGTTGACTGTTTGACTGTTTGACTCTTTGTTGTTATTTCACTGTTTGTTGTTTGTTGACTGTTTGTAGGGAGCCATCTTGACGGGTCCTCCAGGAACAGGAAAAACTCTTCTAGCCAAGGCGACGGCCGGCGAGGCCAACGTACCGTTCATCACCGTCAACGGCTCCGAGTTCCTGGAGATGTTTGTGGGCGTTGGCCCGGCCAGAGTGAGTGTTTACAACCTTCTTCATCTTCCTCTGAAGCAGGTGGTCAACATAAATATATATATGTATGTGTATATATATATAGTATATATATATATATATACACACATACATATATATATATATAATAAACAGTTAGATGAAAATAAGTAAATATTTCTATATACTTGTATATTATATAATTACTACATTATATACTGTAATATGATATAATATATAAATATTTTATTATCTCTCCTCCCTCTTCGTACTGAAATCACAGTACGAAGAGGGAGGAGAGATTCGATTATGAAATTTTATAAACCAAAAGTCACCATGACGACAGAGATGAGACTTTGTCTGTCCATCACAGCAGCAGTGATTGACCTTTGACCTCCACAGCTGGAGTTGACCCCTCCACTGAGGAGGATTATGATGATGATGATGATGATGATGATGACTCCTCTGTGGACTAACTAGACCTCAGGGAACCTGTCCACCTGTCTCAGTGTCTCAAGCCTCAGACTTTGCTGATGTCACTCCCTGTGCAGGTGAGAGATCTGTTCGTCATGGCAAGGAAGAACGCTCCCTGCATCCTCTTCATCGACGAGATCGACGCCGTGGGACGGAAACGAGGACGAGGAAACTTTGGGGGACAGAGCGAGCAGGAGAACACACTGAACCAGCTGCTGGTGGAGATGGACGGTGGGTGATGGGAATCATGGGAAATGCATGTTTTTACAGACATAGTTAAACTGATTCTGAGTTTCCTGAAGCATCATGGGAGTTTTCTCTGACAGGAAATGCGCTCAGAGAAAACTTACAAATGGCTCCTTGAAGACTCCGTCATGATGTCGTCATTAAATATGAAAGTCTCCTCTGAAATAACTCTCACTCCTATCTGTTTTTTAGGCTTCAACACGGCGACCAATGTCGTGGTTCTGGCAGGAACCAACAGACCGGACATCCTGGATCCGGCTCTGATGAGACCAGGACGCTTCGACCGACAGATTTACATTGGTGAGAGACTAACGAAGGGTTAAATTTCTTTTTTTATCAGGTCAGAGAGAGCAAGGTGTTAAAATAACAACTATATATAGTTCTGGGTCTGGTTCTTGGTCTGGTTCTGGTTCTGGTCAGCTGTCTGTGTTCTGTCCCAGGTCCTCCTGATATTAAAGGTCGAGCCTCCATCTTTAAAGTTCACCTGCGTCCTCTGAAGCTCGAGGTCAACGTGGACAAGGACGCCCTGGCGAAGAAGATGGCCGCCCTCACACCTGGATTCTCAGGTAAACCTGGTCTCATGTTCTCTCCTCATTAATCAGGTAGAACCTGCTGGTTCATTCTCCCTGTTCTCCATCTTCAGGCGCAGACATTGCTAACGTCTGTAACGAGGCGGCTTTGATTGCCGCTCGCCACCTGTCAGATGCCATCAACCAGAAACACTTCGAACAGGCCATCGAAAGGGTCATCGGAGGTGAGCCCAGACCCGGACCAAGACCAGACTGAGACCAGGTCCGGACTGAGACTAAGACCAAGACCAGGACCAGACCCAGACCAGACTGAGGCCAGGACCGGACTGAGACCAGGACCAGACCCAGACTGAGACCAAGACCAGGACCAGACTGAGAACGAGACCGAGACCAAGACCAAGACCAGAACGAGACCAAGACCAGGACCAGGACCAGACTGAGAACAAGACCAAGACCAAGACCAGAACGAGACCAAGACCAGGACCAGGACCAGACTGAGAACAAGACCAAGACAAGACTGAGACCAGGACCAGACCGACACCAAGACCAGGACCAGACTGAGAACGAGACCAAGACCAAACCAAGACCAAGACCAGACCAAGACCAAGACCAGGACCAGGACCAGGACCAGACCGAGAACAAGAACAAGACCAGACTGAGACCAGGACCAGACTGAGAATGAGACCAGACCGAGACCGAGACCAAGACCAGGACCAAGACCAGACCGAGACCAAGACCAGACCGAGACCAAGACCAGGACCAAGCCCAAGACCAGGACCAGACTGAGAACAAGTCCAAGACCAGGACCAGACTGAGAACGAGACCAAGACCAGACCCATACCCAGACCCATACCCAGACCAGACTGAGACCAGACGGAGACCAGGAACGAGACCAAGACCAGGACCAGACTGAGACCAAGACCAGGACCAGACCAGGACCAGACTGAGAACGAGACCAAGACCAAGACCAAGACCAAGACCAAGACCAAGACCAAGATCAAGACCAGGAACAGACCAAGACCAGACTGAGGCCAGGACCAGACTGAGAACGAGACCAAGACCAGACCGAGACCAAGACCAAGACCAGGACCAGACTGAGAACGAGACCGAGACCGAGACCAAGACCAGACCGAGACCAAGACCAGGACCAGACTGAGACTAGGACCAGACCGACACCAAGACCAGGACCAGGACCAGACTGAGAACAAGAACAAGACCAGACTGACACCAGGACCAGGACCAGACTGAGAACGAGACCAGACCGAGACCAAGACCAAGACCAAGACCAGGACCAAGACCAGACCAGGACCAAGCCCAAGACCAGGACCAGACTGAGAACAAGTCCAAGACCAGGACCAGACTGAGAACAAGTCCAAGACCAGGACCAGACTGAGAACGAGACCAAGACCAGACCCATACCCAGACCCATACCCAGACCAGACTGAGACCAGACCGAGACCAGACGGAGACCAGGAGCAAGACCAAGACCAGGACCAGACTGAGACCAGACTGAGACCAGAACCGAGACCAGACCCAGACCCAGACCCAGACCCAGACCCAAACCGAGACCCAGACCCAGACCAGCAGCCTGAGTCCTTGATCCTGTGTGCACCTGTCAGACTGAGCTCGTAACATCTGTGTCAGACTCTTGAAGTTGTGATTCACCTGACTGTGGTCTCAGACCTGGTTGCTGCTGTTGTGATCGAGGTTCAGGACTTTAATCTGGTTCTTGCTGGTCCTGTTTGAGGTCTGGAGAAGAAGACTCAGGTCCTGCAGCCGGAGGAGAAGAAGACGGTGGCGTATCATGAGGCTGGTCACGCCGTCGCTGGATGGTTTCTGGAGCATGCTGACCCTCTACTAAAGGTCAGCCTTACTGTTTAATGGATCAACTGTTCAAATGAAATTTAATGTTCTCCAGAACTGACCAGGACCAGGACTAGGACCAGGTCCTCACTAATCATGACTCAGTTTAAAATAAATGTCCGACAGGACAAAATCAAATGATGACATTTCATATCCAAAAGGTCAAAAGTCAACTTCACTCTGACATCATAATGTTCTGTTCAGTATTCAACACTGTGACCATGTTTCCTGTGACCTGATTGGTTGATGGAGGGTCTGGTTCAGAATCAGGTCTGAGCAGAACTTATTGATTATTTGAACAGTTTTAATGGAATTAAATTGAATCAGATCATCGTTATGAGGGTGTAACATTTACTGCAGCATCATTCATTCTTCAATGACATTGTGTGTTACATATTGTATTGCTATGATTACCTGTCCAGGTGTCCATCATCCCCCGAGGGAAGGGGCTGGGCTACGCTCAGTACCTGCCCAAAGAGCAGTACCTGTACACCAAGGAGCAGCTGCTGGATCGCATGTGTATGACTCTGGGGGGGCGGGTCTCCGAAGAGATCTTCTTCGGACGCATCACCACCGGAGCTCAGGACGACCTCCGCAAGGTCACCCAGAGCGCGTATGCACAGGTCAGAGGTCACAGGTCTGGGGCAAGAGGGGTCACAGGTCAGAGGTCACATGGGTCAGAGGTCAAAAGTTAGAAGTCTTGGCTCAGAGGTCACACTGGTCAGAGGTCACAGGGCCAGAGGTAACAGCGCTGGGGTTAGAGGGGTCACAGGTCAGATGTCACATGGGTCAGAGGTCACAAGTTAGAAGTCACAGGGGTTAGAGGTCACCCAGAGTGCCTACGTACAGGTCAGAGGTCAGGGGGGTCACTGGTCAGAGTTCAGAAGTGTTAGCAGTTAATTATTATTGAGGGTTCTATGAAGGTCAGGGTTAGGGTCAGCTGATGACCTGCTGTGAGGTGATGAACTTTAACATGAAGTTCAAGTTCGCTGTTCAGGTTCCTGTCGGTCTGATCTCTGGTCTATGTGTTCTGCTGCAGATCGTTCAGTTTGGGATGAATGCAAAGGTGGGTCAGGTTTCCTTCGACCTCCCCCGGCAGGGCGAAATGGTTCTGGAGAAACCATACAGTGAAGCTACGGCTCGGCTCATTGACACCGAGGTCAGAACCCTCATCAGCGAGGCGTACCAGAGAACCCAAGAGCTGCTGAACAACAAGAAGGCAGAGGTGGAGAAGGTACCTACGACCTACCTTTAAGAACCTCACAGGTCACAACACAGTCTTTGTTCTAGACGTCTCAGGTGGAGACGAGGTGATGGTGAAACTCCAGATAAATTAGGTACTAAAAGGAACTATACAGGAAATAAGACAAGTAGAACCCTGACATAAATTCTTGAACATTCCTGTGCTAAGAACTCCACAACTCTTCGGATGTTAAAACCTTTGCTCCAAGACAAGGTTCTAGGTCCTTGACAGAACACACACAGTTTTAGAGTGTTCTCAATCTGGTGTTGTACATAAAGTACCACCAGTTCTCACTGATAAAACTTTCTCATTGAGTTCTAGAACATTTCTGTGCAGAGAACTGGTGTCTCGATGTAAAGCTCTAAAACCTAAGACCTAAAACAGACCTAGAATGTTGTCCAACTGCTGTTCTACCACCTGTGGTACCAACAAATCTTTTCCTCATAAAGTATAACCTGCTCTGACATACAGAACCCTGTCTTTGAGTTCTAGAACATTTGTGTGACAGGATCTTTACAAGTTCTAAAGCCTTCACTAGAACCCTGCTCAGATCCAGAAACCTCCTGTAAGCAGCAAGACCAGTGACAACATACACGTTTCTAAAATGTTCTCTATTGTTCTACAATGTTCTATTAGAAGAACTAATCTTTTCCTCATACACTAGAACCAGCTCTCACATATAGAACCCTGTCTTAGAGTTTTTGAACATTTCTTTGTCTCTACAAGAGTTCTTCTTGTATAGAGTTCTAAAACCTTCCCTCCAGATCAGAGTTTTAGATCATTCACACAAACAGCACAATCCGGAGTTCTGACCCTGACCATAATGTTCCTGTGGTGTTCTCCAGGTGGCGCTGCGGCTGCTGGAGAAGGAGGTTCTGGATAAGAGCGACATGGTGGAGCTGCTGGGAAAACGTCCATTTGCAGAGAAGTCGACGTACGAAGAGTTTGTGGAGGGAACCGGAGGCGTGGATGAAGACACGACGCTGCCGGAGGGTCTAAAGGACTGGAACCAGGAGAGGAAGGACAAGGAGGAGACCCAGGACGAACAGGTGGCCCGACAGATCTCTGGAGGAATGCCCTTTTAGAACCCTCTGATGGAGGTCTGGGTTCTACCACAAACATTGACCCATCACTCTCATGGGTATAAAATGTCTGGATCACAATCATTGATGAGGATGAGATCCTTGCCTCCTCCCACACTTCCACAATAAATATCAAGATCTCTTTTCGTAGAACCTTTAGCTATGGAATTCTACACTAAACCTTCATCCTATAGTTCCTTAATATTTTGTTGGAGATCTGGGTTCTACCACCAACCTAAGCTATGACCCAACCCCTCCCATGTCTAGAACCTTGTTAATGTGGAGTTTTACAGTCACCTTGCTTCCATCTGTGAGCTCCTGAAGCCTCTCGTTGACTTCAGAATATTAAACAAGAAGAACTTGGTGAGAACCTGGTCTTTGTACTGCACCAAAGACCAAACCCTCACCTTATAACACTCTAGAATGTTCTGTTGATGTCTGGGCTGCACCACCAAAATATGACTGGACACTGGATTCAAGAACTCTGCACACACTCCTAGAACCGTCTCTCTAGAGTTCACTCACCTTGTACCGACACACCCTTCTCCTCATTGTTCTGGAACCTTCACCTTATTGAACCACCGCTCTTCCCTGTGTCACCAGGTTATAGAACAGATCGGATTCATGCATTTATGTCTAAACTGTCATTGAGTTCTGAAATATTTCTGTTCAGAGAACTGTTCTCTAGAGGCCTCATTCTTTACTCTGTAGGACTCTGACACAGAACTTGTTTACAGTAACCTATAGAGCCCCATCTCCATCTCCCAGAACTTCCCCACTGACTTGTGCTGGGACCTCTGTGTAGAACACTGACAGCACTTATAGAAGTGTTTTCTACATTTGGATCTTGTTCCAACAAAGAATTCTGTATCACACAAATATTCTAAAGCAGGGTTCTAGATTAATTACAACAAACATGCTTCCAGAATGTTCTACAATCTACATCTTTAACAACAGATTTGTTCCTCATACACTAGAACCAGTGCTGACTTAAAGATTGATATTGAGTGATGTTGAGTAATGTTCTTCAAATATCTATTCTTTGTATAGAACCATCTCTGCTGGAGAAGCCTTGTTCCATTGCAAGGGTTCTTGAACAGTCAAATCCACACATACTCTTGATATTAAAACATTTGCTCCAACAGGGGGTTCTAGATCACTCACAGAACGCACACACGTTTGGAGAACGTTCTCAATTTGTTTGTTCTAAAGTTCTAGAACAATTTTGCACTAAGAACTTTCAAAGTGTCTTGATGTAGAACCCTTAGATAAGTCACAACACGTACATGCTTTTAATATTCTCCAATCTGTGACAACAGATCTGTTCTTGTAAAGCAGAACCAACACTAGAACCATTCTCAAACTAACTGATAACTATTTGATATAATTGGTTGGTTCTAGGTCATTCACACCACACACAAACTGCCACAAAAGGGGCTCTGGAACATTTCTCTGCAAAGTACTGTTCTCTGCATAGAACTCTAGAACCTTCCTCTGCATTTGAAGCCTCTCTTGATCGCAGGGTTCTACATTAAACATACTCAAGAAATGTTCAGTTCAGCTCTGACCCATAGAACCATTCAACAGTATTTCTGTAAATGTAGAACTCTTGTTTCAGGTTCTCGATCCGGACTCTACAGCACTTGGTTCCTTGTCTGCAGCTGAACTGTTGGACTTTGTGCTCCAGTGCCAGCCTGTGACAAACAGAACATAGAACAAGAACCCTAAAGGTAGAGGGTGTCGTGAGTACAGTTCTTCATACAACCCTGAGGTCTGCAGTTGAGGTTCTGCTGCTTAAAAAAAGATGATTAACTTATTTAAAGATGACTCTGTATCAGCTATAGAGAATGCTCTCTCCATCATCATCACGCTTTGATCCTGTGAGAGCAGTAAAGAGCTGCAGTCTGTGCTGATCAGATATGAATTAGTTATCGATCAGTTATTGTTAGCATGCTGCATACTGTATACAGCTGATGCTAATATGATGTGAAATTATAGTAAGGTGTAAATGTGTGATGTTTCAGACATTTTAATAAAGACAGAAAAACTGTCAGCAAGTTTCATGATCAATAATCGATCAATCATTAAAGGATTAAAACAGTTTCCCCTCAGTGAAAGTTTATTAAACAGTGGATGTGTAATAATAATAATAATAATAAAAAGATTTCAGTTGGATCAGTTGACAAACACAAACTGATGATTTTTATTTAACCTTTGACCTGGTTCATTCATATGGACTTTATATTTCATCAAATCAAATATACATAAAGATATAATACAAGATATAATAATATTGACTAAATGGACAAATAAAAACATAATGATTAAATTATTAAACTTACAATGAAATGAACAAGTAGGTGATGAAATATACTAATAAAACAAATAGATATGAAGTGAAAAATATCAACAATATCCCTAAAATAAGTGAAAAGACAGAAATAAAAAAATAAATAGACGTCAAGTGAAATAAATTAAAAGATATGTATTTATATGTAAATAAATTAAAACATGGAGAGTTTGAATAGGGTTTTAAAAATAACGTATGTTTATTTATAAATGTACTTTTTGTGTATATTTATTTAATTTCTTGTTAATGTATTTAATCACTTCTTTATTTATTTAACGTCAATTCATTCTTATATCACCGATTTCAATTCTGTCACAATAGTAAATCCTTCAGTTCACACGGGGCTTTTACTCTGAAACCATCATCAGAGGAAGTGACGTACGGATGGCCGCGGTGTTTCCGCTGCTCAAACAGACTCAAACATCAGAAATAATTGATTACTGATTTGGCTCGACGCTGACAGAAGGAGCTCGCGGAGCGGCAGCTGGGCTGAATGGCGGCGGCAGTTTCTGCGGTGAGTTCATTTATGACCTGTCAGTCTGCGCTCAGGGACGCATGCTAAGCTAATGCCAAGCTAATGCTAACCGGAGGAATCGGTGTTTACCGTTAAAGCACAAACACAGTCTGGAGTCAATCAAACTGATAGATCGGGTCTAAAGGTGATCAGTTGTAACAGATCGATACACGCAGCAGAAGCACAGGAGCTAAGCTAGGCTAACAGAAGAGACGGTCCTTTTATCTGGTGCTAAGCTAACTGACTGCCGGGAAGAACATGACTGTCTGCAGGCAGAACACCTGGACAGGTGGCAGAATCTGACCGTTAGACTGATGACGTCATGGTCAACACACGGACATCTGAAATCGATACTTCAGCTCCTGATGTTATCTGATGACATCACAGATGAGCGACGCGATGTCACAGACCAAGTGGTGGAAATGTATTTACTCAGCTACTGTAATGAAGTACAAATCTGAAGTACTTCCACTGCACTGGAGTATTTTCTTATACTGCAGTTCATCAGAGGAAGTATAGTACTTGTACTGCAGTACATTTATTTTCCCACTGCTGGTCCTTCAGATCCAGATGTTTACAAACACATGAAGCTTGTTTATAAACAACATGATGTAAGCAGCTGTGATGATGGATGAAGTTTTAAATAAATTAAGATTATTTTGATTTTGATTGTAAAGTTTTCACTTTGACAAAGAAACAATCAAAGGACAGAGAAAATAACCAGCAGCTTAATTAATGATAATTAATAATGGTGTTAATCAAACAACAAGCATCAGTACAAACAGTTTGTTTATATTTGTGTCTCTATTCAAAAATCTGAATACTAACAGCGATTAATCAGTGAATCAATACAATAACTTCTCAGGAATCACAGGGTGTGTTTGTTTTGTTCTCCTGGTGTTAACAGGGAGGGCCGGCTCTCATCATGGAGAATGGACAGAGCACCACCACCAAGCTGGGCCTGCCGCCGCTCACCCCCAACCAGCAGGAGGCGCTGCAGAAGGTCTCACACACACACACCTGTCTGTCAGATGTTTCACAATAAAAGTCCTGCAGGCTCCAAGAATGTGAAGAAAGCATGACAGGAAGCATGCTTTTATTGTGAAACACTAGCAGAAACATGAGATATCACTGAAGGTTTTATGAAAATCTGTTTTTAAAGTTTTACTGTGTGTGTGTGTGTGTGTGTCCTGTCTGCAGGCGAAGAAGTACGCCATGGAGCAGAGCATTAAAAGTGTTCTGGTCAAACAGACTCTGGCTCAGCAGCAGCAGCTCACCAGTCTCCAGGTAACAACAACACCACCTGCTGCTCAGGTAACTGTTGCTCAGGTGTTTGCTGTGATAATGACATGTCAGCTCTGATCGGTCTGAACAGTCTTCAGTCTGTGAGGAACGGCTGTGACAGGTGTGATGATTGTCCGTGACCCTCAGGTGTAATCTGTCTCTGTCTCTGTCTCAGATGGCGTCTCTGACGATGGGTCTAGGAGACGCTCTGTCTCCCCTGCAGTCAGTAAGTACTTCACTGTCTCACCTGCTTCTCACTTGAGACAGCTGATCATCAATCTCTCGTATCGCCTCGACAAACAGCTCTGATTGATCAGCTTTCTCTCTCAGGTGGCGGCTCAGCGTCAGAGAGCTCTGGCAATCATGTGTCGAGTTTATGTCGGCTCCATCTACTATGAGCTGGGAGAGGACACCATCAGACAGGCCTTCGCTCCGTTTGGACCAATCAAGAGCATCGACATGTCATGGGACTCTGTCACCATGAAACACAAGGTCAGACACACACACACACACACACACACGCACACACACACACACAGAGCTGAGTGCAAAGGTCAGATCCAGATTTAATCCACATGTGGGTCAGGACTAGGATCAGACTGGACCTGGATCAGTCACAAGGAAACTGGACCAGGACGTCCTGAACTTCCCTCAGTGTCTTACAGTAGAGGTCAGAGGTCAGATAAATGACTTCCTGTACTTTTCGTGTGCAGGTGAGGTCACAGGTGGAGATGGAGTCATGTCAGGACCAGGACTCAGTGATCCAGACTCACAGGGACAGACGTTAACCCTCCGTGTTCCTCTGCAGGGTTTCGCCTTCGTAGAGTATGAGATGCCCGAGGCGGCTCAGCTGGCCCTGGAGCAGATGAACTCTGTCGTCTTAGGAGGCAGGAACATCAAAGTGAGTACTGGTCCTTAGGATCTGGTCCAGTCCAGACCAGTGCAGACCATAACAGACCAGTTCAGACCATCACAGACCATCACAGACCAGTGTAGACCAGTCAGTACCAGTCCAGACCATCACAGACCAGTACAAACCGGTTCAGACCAGTACAGACCATCTGAACCAGTACAGACCATCACAAACAATCACGGACCAGTACAGACCATCACGGACCTGTACAGACCATCACGGACCATCACAGACCAAGTCCAGGCCATCACGGACCAGTACAGACCATAACGGACCAGTCCAGACTATCACAGACCATCACAGACCATCACAGTCCATCACAGACCATAACGGACCAGTCCAGACCAGTCCAGACCATCACAGACTAGTACAGACCATAAGGGACCAGTCCAGACCAGTACGGACCAGTCAGTACCAGTCCAGACCATCTGAACCAGTACAGACCGGTTCAGACCAGTACAGACCATTATGGACCAGTCCAGACCATCACGGACCAGTACAGACCATAACGGACCAGTCCAGACCATCACAGACCAGTCCAGACCATCACAGACCATCACAGACAGGTCCAGACCATCACAGACCAGTCCAGACCATCACAGACCATCACAGACCATCACAGACCATCACAGTCCATCACAGACCATAACGGACCAGTCCGGACCAGTCCAGACCATCACAGACTAGTACAGACCATAACGGACCAGTCCAGACCAGTACAGACCATCACAGACCAGTACAGACCATCTGAACCAGTACAGACCATCACAAACAATCACAGACTAGTACAGACCATAACGGACCAGTCCAGACCAGTACAGACCAGTACAGACCATCACAGACCAGTACAGACCATCACAGACCAGTACAGACCATCTGAACCAGTACAGACCATCACGGACCAGTACAGACCATCACGGACCTGTACAGACCATCACGGACCATCACAGACCAAGTACAGACCATCACGGACCAGTCCAGACCATCACAAACCATCACAGACGATCACAGGCCATCACAAACCATCATGGACCAGTACAGACCATCACAGACCAGTACAGACCTAGGCTGTTGACCAGTCTCTAGTCTCAGTCTGAGGTCTTTGACTTTGTCTCTGCTCCTCATCTCGCAGGTTGGGAGGCCCAGTAACATCGGCCAGGCTCAGCCAATTATTGACCAGCTGGCGGAAGAAGCTCGCGCCTTCAACAGGATCTACGTGGCGTCGGTTCACCCCGACCTCTCCGACGACGACATCAAGAGCGTCTTCGAGGCTTTCGGCAAGATCAAGTCCTGCATGTTGTCCCGAGAGCCGACCACCGGGAGACACAAGGGCTACGGCTTCATCGGTGAGGACACCTGAGGACATGTGACCACGTGGCGCCCCCTAGGAAATGTCAGTGAGGCCCTTCCTGTCCCCACGGTTTAACTTACATGTATGAAACTCGCCAGGCACCTGTACACCTGTTCTAACACACCAAGATGTACAAAAAAGCCTCTTGCACCCATAGTCCAAACCTAACAGGAAGTCAGCCATTTTAAATTAAATCTGCAATTTTTTTATTTGATGGTTACGTACTTTAACAAACTCCTCTTACAGAATCCATCAGAGTCTTTCATTGGAGGACCCGCACATGGCGGCGCGGAGAATTTCAATGGGTCACCATGAAAAATCAACTCACTCTAACTCCAGCACACATTGTCCAAACTGCTCCAAACTTTCTATGTGTGATCAGAATCCTGCCCACCTACAAGCCAATTCAGTTAGAGTCATAGCGCCCCCTTGTGGTGACAGGAAATGTGATGTTTTACCATTTCATGTACTCCTCTTAGCAGGTTAACCACACCCACCTCAAACTGGGTCAGAAACACTTCAGACCATGTTGAATGAAACTCCTTCCAGTATAAACAGTGCAGGTGATTGAGTGTTAAAAGGAGCAGGTAAAATCAAAGGTTACCTGAATGTGATGAGGACCACTGCGTCAGGGGGCGCCGCTGAGGCTGCAGTCTGTAGACCTGAATCTGATGGTCTTGTGTCTGCTGTCCTGGTCTCAGAGTACGAGAAGCCTCAGTCTGCTCAGGATGCCGTGGCCTCCATGAACCTGTTTGACCTGGGGGGTCAGTACCTGCGGGTGGGGAAGGCCGTGACTCCACCGATGCCCCTCCTCACACCAACAACACCTGGAGGACTTCCAGCTGCTGCCGCCGTGGCTGCTGCTGCCGCTACCGCCAAAATCACTGCTCAGGTATGAAGCTCCGCCCCCTGCCAGCTCTCCAAGTCAGAGAAACAAACAAACAAACAAACAAACACACAGAAAATGACTGTTTTTTTCTACAGTATCTGACATGTCTTATACTTTGTTCTGTGGTGCGTTCAGGAGGCCGTGGGAGCGTCGGTTCTTGGAGCTCTGGCCGGACCGGCGCTCCTCTCTCAGCAGCTGGGAGGACTTCCTCAGGCCGTCATGGCCGCCCAAGCTCCAGGTGTTATCACAGGTAGGAACGCCTACAGCACCGCCCACATACATATAAACCACACCCCCGTGTTAACGAGGATGACCTGCTGTCCAATCACATTAAAGGTCTCCTGTCTAAAGCATCAGTGTGCAGCCAGTCACAGTCTGAGCCTGTTCATATTTATCATAGCATGCCATCTCTTGGTTTATCCGGAAGCCCCTTCCCCAGCGTCTTAGACACCTGTAGCTGTTACCTGCCCTCATTCACACCCCTGGACGCAGAGGACAGAGTCACTGATGTTCTGTTATCAGACTTTCAGAAACAGTTTCAGAGGAAATCATTTCCTAACATGAAGCGTGTTGTTAGTGAATGTTTGACTCAGTTGTTGTGAAACGTTGATGTAGATGAAATAAACACAGATGTGGATCAGGACAGATGTTTTGTTATGATGTGTTTAGTCTTTTTTGTTCCTCTGTGTTCAGTTCAGTGATGAGACAAGGAAACAGCACGTGTGAACAAGTTAAAAAAACTCTGAGAACTAGAAAATAATAAAGAAAAGAACTTGTGTGTTGAAAGATAAATATGACACGATGAAAACCTGTTCATACAAGTTCATACAAGATTTGAATCTTTAATAACTGAAGATAAAACCCATTGAGTTAAAACTTACAAACCAGATCAACACTTCTATCTGATAAACATTTCACAAAATCAGAACTGAAATCTTTCAGGACTCTGTAGGTTCTGATCCAGTTTCGAGGTCACCTCCAATAGTCAGACCAGTCCTGACTCCAGACAGGAAGTAGTTTGTCCCAGTTGTTGTTTGTGTTGCTTCGTCAGAAGCGTCTCCACTAATAGATTTTCTCTTTTATTGTCTTTTTTTCTCTCTCTCTGTTTTTTTCTCTTCTCTTCCCCCTCTCTCGACCCCCAACATTTGCACCGACAGTGACCTCTTAACCCCTCCCCTTTGCTGCACACTGACCAACCAAGTGAAGAGGACTGTTTCTAGCCCCTCCCTTTAAACATAGCCCCTCATTCCTGTTGGCCAGTGAGTCTCAGATCCTGTGTGACTTGTGGAGTTTCAGTCATGTTTAACAACACACCTGCACACATTCATCAGAAGTGGGGGGTGGGGGGTGTTCAGTCAGTGGGGTTGACTGATCTCCTTAACCTAAAGTCCAAAGCTTCCTGTTTCCTGAGATTATATCAGCACCAATCGTAAGTATTAGTTTCAAACTTGACTAGAGGAAGAACATTCAGCAGTTGAGAGCCACAGTCAGGATGCTTCACTCTGCACAGTGGGTGCACTTGTTAACAGCTACATGTTGGGTGGTGATGTACCGCAGGCGGGTGGAGTTTAATGGCTGCTTTTACTGCTGATAGAAAACAGAAGCATAAAGTCAGTTTGAGCGTTTCAGTTTTAACTCCACCTGTGGTCATAGTAGGGCGTTACAGGTGTGGTAAACCATTGCACACAGAGTATATTCTAGTTGGTAGAAGAGGCTGGGGGTTGGTCCCAGACGTTGGAGAAGCTGACGTCCAGAAGGAGGTTCTTCTTCTCCAGAAGCCTGGGGCGGCTCCTGCAGCCAGACCGTGGCCACCCGTCTGACCATCCTGTCCTTCCTGCTTCCTGTCTGTTTCAGGGGTGACCCCAGCTCGACCTGGTGTGCCTCAGGTGGGTCTGGTGAACCCGGTGCTGGCCACACCCCCGACACCGGTAGCCTCTTTTGGCTCTGAGGTGAAGAGGAAAGAGGAGGAGGAGGAGTGTCAGCAGGAGGCGCAGCAGGATGGAGCCATGGAGCCACTCAGTGAACAGGAGCACATGAGCATCAGCGGCAGCAGCGCCAGGCACATGGTGATGAGGAAGCTCCTCCGTAAGCAAGAGGTACGGGTTCAAATCCTGCCCAGGAGCAGGACAGCCAGGAGAAGAGTTCACCTTTCTTGACTCAGGAATTGTTGATCTTCACTCGGGACTCGGCCTTGACTCGTGACTTGTTGGTCTTGATATGGGACCTGTTGGTCTTGACTCGAAACTCATTGGTCTTGACTTGAAACTCATTGGTCTTGACTTGAAACTCATTGGTCTTGACATGTAACTGTTGATCTTGACTTGGGACTTGTTGATCTTCACTTAGGACTTCCTGGTCTTGACATGGAACTGTTGATCTTGACTCGTGACTTGTTGGTCTTGACTATGCACTTGTTGATCTTCACTCAGGACCTCCTAGTCTTGACATGGAAATGTTGATCTTGACTCGTGACTTGTTGGTCTTGATATGGGACTCGTTGATCTTGATATGGAACTTTGTTGGTCTTGACATGGGACTTGTTGATCTTGACATGGAACTGTTGATCTTGACTCAGAACTGTTGATCTTGACTCGGGACGTGTTGATCTTGACTCGGGACTCTTTGGTCTTGACTAGGGACTTGTTGGTCTTGACTCGGGACTTGTTGATCTTGACTCGGGATTTGTTGATCTTGACTTGGGACTTGCTGGTCTTGACTCGGGACTTGCTGGTCTTGACTCGGGACTTGTTGGTCTTGACGTGGGACTATTGATCTTGACTCAGGAATTGTTGGTCTTTACTCTCGACTTGTTGATCTTGATTCACTACTTGTTGGTCTTGACTCGGGACTCGTTGGTCTTGATATGGGATTCGTTGATCTTGACATGGGACTGTTGATCTTGACTCAGGAATTGTTGGTCTTGACGTGGGACTGGATCTTGCCTCGGGACTTGTTGGTCTTGACTCGGGACTTGTTGGTCTTGACTCGGGACTTGCTGGTCTTGACTCGGGACTTGTTGATCTTGACTCGGGACTTGTTGCTTTTGACTTGGGACATGTTGGTCTTGACGTGTGACTGTTGATCTTGACTCGTGAATTGTTGGTCTTTACTCTCCACTTGTTGATCTTGACTCGCTACTTGTTGGTCTTAACTCGGGACTTGTTGGTCTTGACTCGGGACTCGTTGGTCTTGACTCGGGACTCGTTGGTCTTGATATTGGATTCGTTGATCTTGACTCGTGACTTGTTGATCTTGACTCGTGACTTGTTGATCTTGACTCGTGACTTGCTGGTCTTGACTCGGGACTTGCTGGTCTTGACTCGGGACTTGCTGGTCTTGACTCGTGACTTGCTGGTCTTGACTCGTGACTTGTTGGTCTTGACTCGTGACTTGTTGGTCTTGACTCGGGACTTGTTGGTCTTGACTCGGGACTTGTTGGTCTTGACTCGGGACTTGTTGGTCTTAACCCGGGACTTGTTGGTCTTGACTTGGGACATGTTGGTGTTGACGTGGGACTGTTGATCTTGACTCAGGAATTGTTGGTCTTTACTCTTGACTTGTTGATCTTGACTCGCTACTTGTTGATCTTGACTAGGGACTCGTTGGTCTTGACTCAGGACTCGTTGGTCTTGACTCGGGACTCGTTGGTCTTGATATTGGATTCGTTGATCTTGACATGGGACTGTTGATCTTGACTCGGGACTTGTTGGTTTTGACTCGGGACTTGTTGGTCTTAACCCGGGACTTGTTGGTCTTGACTTTGGACATGTTGGTGTTGACGTGGGACTGTTGATCTTGACTCAGGAATTGTTGGTCTTTACTCTTGACTTGTTGATCTTGACTCGCTACTTGTTGATCTTGACTAGGGACTTGTTGGTCTTGACTCGGGACTCGTTGGTCTTGATATTGGATTCGTTGATCTTGACATGGGACTGTTGATCTTGACTCGGGACTCTTTGGTCTTGACTCGGGACTCTTTGGTCTTGACTCGGGACTCTTTGATCTTGACTCGGGACTCTTTGATCTTGACTCGGGACTCTTTGATCTTGACTCGGGACTCTTTGATCTTGACTCGGGACTCTTTGATCTTGACTCGGGACTCTTTGATCTTGACTCGGGACTCTTTGATCTTGACTCGGGACTTGTAGATCTTGACTCGGGACTTGTTGGTCTTGACTCAGGACCTCCTGGTCCTGACTAGGGACTGTTGATCTTAACTCGTGACTTGTTGGTCTTGACTCGGGACTCTTTGGTCTTGACTCGGGACTTGTTGGTCTTAACTCGGGACTTGTTGGTCTTGAATCAGACCTTCTGGGCTTGACATGGAACTGTTGATCTTGACTCGTGACTTGTCGATCTTGACTCGTGACTTGTTGATCTTGACTCGGGACTTGTTGGTCTTGACTCAGGACCTCCTGGTCCTGACTCGGGACTGTTGATCTTAACTCGGGACTTGTTGGTCTTAGCTCGGGACTTGTTGGTCTTGAATCAGACCTTCTGGGCTTGACATGGAACTGTTGATCTTGACTCGTGACTTGTCGATCTTGACTCGTGACTTGTTGATCTTGACTCGGGACTTGTTGGTCTTAACTCGGGACTTGTTGGTCTTGAATCAGACCTTCTGGTCTTGACATGGAACTGTTGATCTTGACTCGTGACTTGTTGATCTTGACTCGGGACTTGTTGATCTTAACTCGGGACTTGTTGGCCTTAACTCGGGACTTGTTGGCCTTAACTCGGGACTTGTTGGCCTTAACTCGGGACTTGTTGGCCTTAACTCGGGACTTGTTGGCCTTAACTCGGGACTTGTTGGCCTTAACTCGGGACTTGTTGGCCTTAACTCGGGACTTGTTGGTTTTGACGCGGGACTCGTCGGTCTTGACTCGGGACTTGTTGGTCTTGACTCGGGCTCTTTGGTCTTGACTTGGGACTTGTTAGTCTTGACTCGGGACTTGTTGATCTTGACTCGGGACTTGTTGGTCTTGACTCGGGACTTGTTGGTCTTGACTCAGGACTTGTTGGTCTTGATGTGGGACTGTTGATCTTGACTCGAGACTTATTGGTCTTGACCCAGGACTTGTAGGTCTTGACTCAGGACTTGTTGGTCTTGATGTGGAACTGTTGATCTTAACTTGGGACTTGTTGATCTTGACTTGGGACTTCTTGGCTAGCAAATAGTGCTGGGGGGGTACAACATAAAACTTGAAATGTTTTCCTTTCAGCACTGTCCTGCAGTCTGTTATGTGAATATAAATGTTTAGTGATCACTGCAGCAGCCCGGGTTCAAATCAGTTCCATGGCCCTTTGCTGGATGTCAATCCCCTCTCTCTCTTTAGCTGTCAGAATAACGGCAAAAAAATAAAAAAACAAATGAAAGATTTGAGAAGGAAAAAGAAGTAAACAAAGGAGAATGTAAAGGTACTTCAGTGAACAGGTAGTCTGGGGTTTGACTTCTGATAATAATGTCATTTTGTCGTAAACCGGACATACATGTGGACCTCAGTAAAATGTTGTTCTAACACTTAATCTCCCCCATCAGTCAACTGTGATGGTCCTGAGGAACATGGTCGGTCCTGATGACATTGACGATGACCTGGAGGGGGAGGTCACTGAGGAGTGCGGGAAGTTCGGCCAGGTGAAGCGTGTCATCATCTACCAGGAGCGTCAGGGCGAGGAAGATGATGCAGACGTCATTGTTAAGATCTTTGTAGAGTTTTCAGAGGCGGCCGAGATGAATCGAGCCATCCAGGCTCTCAACCACCGCTGGTTCGGAGGACGTAAGGTAGTGGCAGAGGTGTACGACCAAGAACGCTTCGAGAACAGCGACCTGTCGGCGTAGAACACAGATATACGCTCAGACACATATACAAACTCAGCGTAGAGTAGATGCCTCTTTATAACCTGTCAGTTTTTTATTGGTGTTTGTCCCTGGATGAACTTTTCTTCTTCTTCTGTTTATTTCTGTACGGATCTAAAGGACCATTCTGCTGTTCTTCATGTTTCAACTACAAATCTAATATTTTCCACTCCTGCTCATTGTTTTCCAGATCAACAAATTTCGGATGGATTCTTCCTGGCAGCTGCTGGGTTAGCTTCATTTTAGAGCTGAATCCGTCAGGTGATTGTGAATGTTCCCAGTTATTTTCCGTTCTCCAGGTTCTCAGACGTTCAGTTTTTATCCGTGTTCTGTGGCAGTAAACTGAACCTCTCTCGTTTTCTACTGTTGGTCATTTCAGGCACCTTGGACTGAGAATGAGTTTTTCTGTCTTACAGACCAAGTGTTTGGTTTATTGACAAAAAAAGAGATAAATCTGTGGTGGAAAAAAATCCAGTTCAAACAGCTTTTGTTTAATAACTGAATTTTTCCACAAACCTGAGCAGGACAGAACCACATTTAAAATTGATGTTTGTGCTGCAGACACTCAGTTCAGACCAGCGTTGTGTTGAAGTGATACAGAAATGTTACAGTCCCATCAGAACATCAGCGGCTGCCTAACGCTTCATGCTTTGTGTTCATCAGCTGTTTTGTGTTGAATGAACATTTAAAACACAATGTCAGCTGACATGTTGGGAACTGAAAGTGGGTCCAGATTAATGACCTGATCTTTAGGTCTGGTCTTGAAGAAAGTCCCGGTGTCAAACTCTAGTTCTAATGCCCCTGTGTTCACTGATGTTTGATCCGGTGACCAGACGGAGACACTGCAGCGACTTGATGATCGATTTCTCCTTTAAGTCATTTCTCAAACATTCTCCAACTCCAGTTTCCCTCTATGAATATTTCCAGCCTCTCAGTAACTGAGTCTGTTTGGGTTTCGGACTCTTGGTCAGACAGAAGAAGATGCTTATTTATTGTTTATAAAGCTGAATGATCGATCAGTTAATCAATTAAAAGATCGATCATGGAAATAAGAGCTGGTTTTTAGCTTTCAACAGTAGAACTGGTTCTTAGTGGTTTCCCAGTGTGAGACACTGTACTCAGTCCTGGCCTGACCTGAGACTGTTTGAAGACTCCTGTTGCTGCGTTCAGGGACACTCTGAGTTTTGTAAAATGATGAGCTGAGCTGAGATTTGAGCTGAGACATGAACCCAGCTGTGGTCAAGATGTTCAGATAGCAGAAACATCTGGACGTTTGTCCTCTGACTGATGTTCCTGAACACAACACACCATCACAACCCAAACTCAAACCAACTTCAGTCTGTCCAGGTGGGTTATGTTTTCCTGTTGAAGACGATCAGATTCTGGTGTCGATTCATCAAACGTGGATTCTCCTCAGAAAGAAGGATCAACATGAAAGAGGTCGACGGTGTGTTCAGGTGTTCTTCAGGTGTTCTTCAGGTCTTTGAAGGTCAAACACCAAAATATGTGAATAAAACTTTTTATTTCTTTTTTTTACAACAGTGGGTTTTTTTCTGCTGTTTTGTTCATCTGAAGCTGCTGTTTGATTGGCTGACAGTTTTTAATACAAAAATCCATTTCATAATAAAAAAGAACGTAGAAAAAGCTTCTTAACAGTAAGTTCTACCTGCTCTGCTTCTCTCTACCTCTGTGGTTCGATTACCTGAAAAAGGTCTTTCACCAAAATAACGTCATAGTTTCATGTTAAAGGCTCATGAGTGATACAATGTTTACATTTTTGAAAACATGATGTTTAAGAAATCATCACAAACATAAAACTAGATTCAGTCTTTGGTGTCTTTTTACTCCTCCATCACCAAACTCATGAACAGGAGCTTCTGTTTGTTTTGGTTTCAGCAGGGTCATGTGACACATCTTACTCTGACGTGTAAGCTGGTTTGGCCTCAGAGGAAACGTAACTTCCGACAAAGAGCTTCATTTTTCAGCTATTATTTATTTATCTGCAGCAGATAAACGCGCTGAAGTCTCATTCGACCCTGCCCGCCTGACACATGGAATAATAATAACAAAATAATAACTATGATAATAACAATTGCAATCATGTATAAATGTACATACAGTCTTTGCTTTGATAACCTACAGAGTCTTTTATTCTGAAGGCTGAGACCTGCCCGCTTCCGTCGGTTACCGGGACGTCACGGCTCATGGCTGTGTACGGTGGCTCGGTGGTGTCAGTTTGCGCCGCTCCGCCGCTCGTGCTGACGATGGGAGACGTTTTCTGCGAAGAGCTCGAGGATTTAGTTCATTTCTCAGTACATGACTTGCCGGCAAGGGGCTATGTCGTCATGGAGGAGATCCGACGTCAGGGGAAACTCTGTGACGTCACGCTCAAGGTAAGAAACGACGACGCTCGAGGCTGAAGTTAGCTTGCCAGCTAATAGCTAGCAACCCGTCAGGAGGAAGTTAGCTGCGGCACAGCTAACGGGGCTAACAACATGCTAACATCGGCTATAATGTTATTATGATGATGACCACCGTCCCGTTTACACGGGCTTATGACGTCACAGGCCGTTAGCATCGGCTCGGGCAGGAAAGGTAACAGTGCTAATCCTTGACCTGCTGCCGCTGCCAGTGACCCTGCAGCAAGGCAGCAGGCAGACTGATCCACAGATTTGATCCACAGTTCTGATCCACAGTTCTGATCCATAGTCTTGATCCACAGTTCTGATCCAGTCTTGATCCACAGTTCTGATCCATGATCTGATCCACAGTCCTGATCCACAGTCTTCATCCACAGACCTGATCCACAGTCTTGATCCACAGTCCTGATCCACAGACCTGTTGCACAGTTCTGATTGACAGTTCTGGTCCACAGACCTGATCCACAGTCTTGATCCACAGTCTTGATCCACAGACCTGATCCATGACTTGTTCCACAGTTCTGATCCACAGTCCTGATCCACAGTCTTGATCCACAGACCTGATCCATGACCTGTTCCACAGACCTGATCCACAGTCTTGATGCACAGACCTGATCCATGACTTGTTCCACAGTTCTGATCCACAGTTCTGATCCACAGACCTCCAGTAGTTGAAGTTAATATGAAGCTTTATCTGTCTGAGTGACTCATCAGGTCTGTTGTTGTTGCTGTTGTTGCTGCTGCTGCTATTGCTGCACAGGAAGATGAAGTTCAGAATAAAACCTGAATCTGGATCCCTCCATGATCACACCATGAGATCTGAAGCTGCTTCGTTTTAACATGTGACCTCAAGGTGATGACGTCAGAGCTGCTGCAGCTGATCCTCTTAAAGTGTCAGGATTAAAGCTGCTCAATCTGAGGAAATACAACTTGCAACACAGTGAACACACCTCTGCACAGGCGAGAGCTCTGTACAGGTGACATCACACCAGGTGACATCACTGTTAACATGTCGTCCTCTCTGCAGGTCGGGGATCATAAATTCAGCGCTCACCGGATCATCTTGGCGGCCTCCATTCCGTACTTTCACGCCATGTTCACCAACGACATGGTGGAGTGTAAACAGGACGAGATCCTGATGCAGGGCATGGACCCCAGGTAAGACCTGCACAGGTACCCACACACCAACCAGAGACCAACAGTCTTAGACCAGTACAGATAACCACCTCCAAGTCTGACACTTGAGGCCTGTACTACAAAACAAGTTCAACAGACCGTCAGGACTGTTCACTGTTGACGGTCCTGATAACCTGAAATACGAAGCTGGTTATCACCTGGCTCAGTTAACTCTGGTTTACCTGTCCAGGTACAAGCGTGTTCATGTGAAAGAGGCGGAGTTGTTAATTATAAGCAGCATCGTCTGAACCATGGTTCTTAATATGAGAAGAAACACTGATGAGGTAAATTCAGTAATAACCACGTCCAACAGGGACATTCAACAAGGTGAAATGTAACAATATGATCACATGACTGGAATAAAAAAATATGATTTCCATGTCTAAATATAATTTCTGTTAAAGTCAGACTAAAGATATAATGTAAATAAGAGCATGAATTATCATCATGTTGATGATGAAGAGGAGAGGAAGAGGAAAGGAAGAAAAGAGGAGAAAAAGAAAAGAGGAGAGGAAGAAGAGAGGAGGAAGAGGAAGAAAAGAGGAGAGGAGGAGGAGGAAGAAAAGAGGATTGTAAGAAGAGAGGAAGAAAAGAGGAAGAGGAGAGTAAAAGCTTCATCACTGGCAGGAATCTGTGTTCAGGTCAAATGAAGCTCTGACAGTGATTAGATTTTATTTAGTGATAAACTGTGAATTCTGCAGAAGCTTTGGTTTAAAACCAGAGAGACACATGGAAAGACTCAAACAGGAAAACGATTCCACTGATCTATATGTTATATCTACTGATCGTTATTATTGATCACTTTATTGTGAACTCTTTTCTCTCTGTCAGGATCCTGTAGGAATGATAACTCTGTTTTTCCAGTGATCTGATTGGTCAGTAGTGTGGCTGTTTTGATCTGATCCTCTAAGTTAACCTGCGCCAGAGCAGGTTAGGAGTTAGGCATCAGTTACCATGGTGATTTACCCCGATAACAAGTGAACCACTGTCGTAGGACTGAAAACCCAGAATTAAACCTGAAGTTACCTCGATAACCTCAGAACCTGCTAGGTAGTACAGGTCTCAGTCTGACACCAGTATAACCAGTCCCTCTCTCCCTGCAGTGCTCTGGAGGCTCTGATAAACTTTGCATACAGCGGCCATGTAGCGATCGACCAGCAGAACGTCCAGTCTCTTCTGATTGGCTCGAGTTTCCTGCAGCTGCAGAACGTTAAAGACGCCTGCTGCTCCTTCCTCCAGGAGAGGTCAGTCACTCCAATACACACGGGTGGAGGTCTAACAGAATCATCTGTAGTAGGAGGAGTGTGTCCTATTGTCACTTCAGCTCTGACAAAACAACAAGGTCCATTTAGTAGCTGTTCTGGAGCTTTTGATCTGTGAACGTGATGTTAAACAATTTAAATGTCTGTCTGTGTCCGGGTCTGTGGGCTTCAGGTTACATCCCAAGAACTGTCTGGGCGTGCGTCAGTTTGCAGAGACCATGATGTGCACGACTCTGTACGACTCGGCCAGCAGCTTCCTCCACCAGCACTTTGTGGAGGTCTCTCTGTCAGAGGAGTTCCTGGGTCTGAGGACGGAGGAGGTGCTGGAGCTGGTGGGCTGTGACGAGCTCAACGTGAAAGCAGAGGAACAGGTGAGCTGCTCCGCCCGTCGGCATGGTAACTGATGGTGGATGACCGAGCAACTCCTGCTACAGGAGGAGCTGTCATCCTCCTCGTCTTCCTCTCCTTGCCTCATGTCTCCGTCCCTCTGTCCACTGGGACGTCCCCACGTTCAGGATTCTCTCTGTTCTTTGTGTTTCTGTCGAGTTTGTTGTTTTCAACGTTCATCTGAAGCAGGTGAGAAACAGACTCAAGAAACGTCTCATCTCGCTGCAGGACAGGAAGTGGACTCATTTTATTATTAATGTTTCTTATTTATTAATAACTATTATAATTATTATTACTAATGAGCTACTGGATACATGAATTTTTCCTACGGGGTAAATTAACCATCCGTCCATCCATCCATCAATCACAGCCTCATTTTGGGACTGTCAGTTTAGGTAAAGCGGTTCACAGCGGTTTACAGCGGTTTACAGCAGTTTAGAGTTTTCCAGTTTTCCACAGTCTGCCTACTGTCGACCCGTTTCACTCGTTTCACCCTCATTTCACTGACTTGTTTTCTGACCATTGAACCTGAACAAGTGACAAATAAAACTCTGACCTGCAACATCACTGACACCTGAGACATGAATTACTATGACATCATTATATATTATTAAAACGTACAATAATAATAAATTATTAAAACAAAGTACAATTATAAAATAATATATTATTAAAACTTAAAGTACAATAAAATTGTTGTTGAACAGTTACTCTTTCAGTGATGACACAGTCATGCTGATTCTCTCTGACCAATCGGCAGCCTGCAGTGTTTTCACCTCAGCTAGGTGGAGGTGAGACCACAACCAGAACCAGGTACCAGGTTCTATGTTTGGACCAATGAAAATCAGAGCAGAGCTGGACAGGAGTAGAGTGGGCGTGTCCAGCAGAGGGCGCTCACAGGATCATTGTTATTATTGAGAAACTTCAGGATCCTGAACATGTTGATGTTCATGTCAGAGGATCATCAGTCAGCAGGGTTCATCCTCTGGGCACCTTGAATGTGTGAACCTCGGTTCATCACAGTCCAGCAGGTGTTCACTGATTTCACACTGCTACCTGCTCTGTGTACCTGTGCAGGTGTTTGAGGCTGTGCTGGCCTGGGTTCATCATGACCGGGACCAGAGGGAGTCCCTGCTGCCGGAGCTGCTGTCCAAGATCAGACTTCCTCTGTGTCGACCACAGTTCCTGTCAGACCGAGTCCAGCAGGACGAGCTGGTTCGCTGCTGCCACAAGTGCAGGTGAGTCTGTCCTCATGTTGTCTTCACGTGTCCTCATGTTCCCTCATGTGTCCTCATGTGTCTTTATGTGACCTCATGTGTCCTCATGTGTCTATATGTGACCTCATGTGTCCTCATGTGTCTATATGTGACCTCATGTGTCCTCATGTTCCTTCATGTGTCCTCATGTGTCTTTATGTGACCTCATGTGTCTTCATGTGTCCTCATGTGTCTTCATGTGTCCTCATGTGTCTTCATGTGCCCCCATTTGTCCTCATGTGTCCTCATGTGTCTTCACGTGTCCTCATGTTCCCTCATGTGTCCTCATGTGTCTTTATGTGACCTCATGTGTCCTCATGTGTCTATATGTGACCTCATGTGTCCTCATGTGTCTATATGTGACCTCATGTGTCCTCATGTTCCTTCATGTGTCCTCATTTGTCTTTATGTAACCTCATGTGTCTTCATGTGTCCTCATGTGTCTTCATGTGCCCCCATTTGTCCTCATGTGTCCTCATGTGTCTTCACGTGTCCTCATGTTCCCTCATGTGTCCTCATGTGTCTTTATGTTCCCTCATGTGTCCTCATGTGTCTTTATGTGACCTCATGTGTCTTCATGTGTCCTCATGTTCCCTCATGTGTCCTCATGTGTCTATCTGTGACCTCATGTGTCTTCATGTGTCCTCATGTGTCTTCATGTGTCCTCATGTTCCTTCATGTGTCTTTATGTGTCCTCATGTTCCTTCATGTGTCCTCATGTGTCTTTATGTGACCTCATGTGTCTTCATGTGCCCCCATTTGTCCTCATGTGTCTTCATCTGTCCTCATGTGTCTTTATGTGACCTCATCTGTCCTCATGTGTCTTTATGTGACCTCATGTGTCCTCATGTGTCTTTATGTGACCTCATGTGTCATGTGTCCTCATGTGTCCTCATGTGTCTTTATGTAACCTCGTGTCTTCATGTGTCCTCATGTGTCATGTGTCCTCATGTGTCCTCATGTGTCTTCATGTGTCATGTGTCCTCATGTGTCTTTATGTGTCCTCATGTGTCTTCATGTGTCCTCATGTGTCTTTATGTGACCTCATGTGTCATGTGTCCTCATGTGTCATGTGTCCTCATGTGTCCTCATGTGTCCTCATGTGTCCTCATGTGTCTTCATGTGTCCTCATGTGTCTTCATGTGTCCTCATGTGTCTTTATGTGACCTCATGTGTCATGTGTCCTCATGTGTCCTCATGTGTCCTCATGTGTCTTTATGTGACCTCATCCTCATGTGTCCTCATGTGTCCTCATGTGTCTTCATGTTGAAGTTGTGAGACTCTCTTGTTTCCTGTCAGAGATCTGGTGGATGAAGCCAAAGATTTCCACCTGATGCCAGAGCGGCGTCCTCACCTGCCCACCTTTAAGACCAGACAGAGGTGCTGCACGTCCATCACAGGTCTCATCTACGCTGTGGGAGGGCTCAACAGCTCAGGTACACCGCACACCTGTCGGTGTCGTCCTCTCTCATCTGTGCTCAGGGTGATCAGCTGATGGTGTGTTTTCTCCTCCAGGTGACTCATTAAACGTAGTCGAAGTTTTCGATCCGATCGGGAACTTCTGGGAGCGCTGTCAGCCAATGAGGACGGCTCGCAGCAGAGTGGGCGTGGCCGTCATTAACGGGCTGCTGTACGCCATCGGTGGATATGATGGCCAATCACGGCTGAGCACGGTGGAGGTTTACAACCCAGAGACAGACAGCTGGACACGGGTGTCAAGCATGAACAGCCAGCGCAGGTGTGATCAATACTTATCAATAGTGATCAGTACTGATGCACTGGTCCTGTAAAGTAATAAAACATGCTGTCGTCAACAGCGCCATGGGAACGGTCGTGATTGACGGACATATCTACGTGTGCGGCGGCTACGATGGGAAGTCGTCTCTGAACTCAGTGGAGTGTTACTCTCCAGAGACCGACAGGTGATCAAACATCAGTGATCCGGATCAGCCCAGGACCAGGTCTCTGTGTCAGTACATGACTTACCTGTGTTACTGCCCCCTCACCTGGGGCGGCATCAGGTGTGACGAGTCGCTGCTCGTTACCAGAGCAAACGAGTGAACATGATGTAAACAATGAGGTTGACTCATCGTGGTGTCATTAGGGTGTGAGTGGTTAAAGTTCAGGGGCCAAAACACCTTAAGTTTTCTCCTTAAGTTTGATACTTCAGGTTGGATTTCTCCTCAGCTGAGGGAGGTACTAAAGGTTGTTGCACAGAATCTCTTAAAATGTTTCCTTAGTTAAGGGAAAACCTCAAGGCATTTACAACAATGAAAGAGATTTTACAGCAGTAAAATTCTACAGTTTCCATGGAGACTGTTTGTTTGCTGGCATTAGCACCTGTGATATTAAGACATTTTTAATAAATTTAAGTAAAGAGTAAAAAAAATCCTTAAAAATGTCCAAACAATCATGTAAACAGTCTTTTAATTAAGACCTAAAAAATTTAATAATCCCTTAAAGATGTTAAAGAGAGAAGAAGTGTTGTTGTTTACCTGTTTACTTGTTGACGATATTGATCTTCTACCTGCTGCTGGTGTCCAGGTGGACGGTGGTGACGGAGATGAGCGCCAGTCGCAGCGCTGCAGGTGTGACGGTGTTTGACGGACGCATCTTTGTCTCAGGCGGCCATGACGGTTTACAGATCTTCAACACGGTCAGTGTCATCATCACACACACACCACTGATCAATACAACTGATCAGTACAACTGATCAATACAATCAGGTGACAGGCAGGAAACAATATTTGTATTATCGATATATATAAATATGTTTTATTAATATTTTATAGCATCAACATCAAACTGAATTGTGTCTGCCCCCCCACCCCCACCAGGTGGAGTACTACAACCACCACACCAACCGGTGGCACCAGGCGGCGGCGATGCTGAACAAGCGTTGTCGTCACGGGGCAGCGTCTCTGGGCAGTCACATGTACGTGGCGGGGGGGTACGACGGCTCGGGGTTCCTGAGCGGCGCGGAGGTGTTCAGCTCGGGCTCGGGGCAGTGGAGCCTCCTGGTGCCGATGAACACGCGGCGCAGCCGGGTGTCTCTGGTGTCCACGTCGGGGCGTCTGTACGCCGTGGGTGGGTACGATGGACAGTCCAACCTCAGCTCGGTGGAGATGTACAATCCCGACACCAACCGCTGGATCTTCATGGCCCCCATGGTCTGCCACGAGGGGGGGGTCGGGGTCGGCTGCATCCCCCTGCAGCCCGCCTAAAGTGGCCCTTTGGAGGCTAGGCATCGACGTGTTACTGCTGGCTGCAGGCGGGGAGGAGGTGGGGGCGGCGCCCTCCGGTGGCGTTCACTGAGCTTCATTGGTACGACGGCTGGGCTCAGATCTGCACACTGACGCCAGGCCTGTGGGATTATGGGTAAAACTGTAGAGCTAGCCCGCACAGGCTAGCTGCTAGCATTGTGCTATTAGCGCATTTGTGGACCAAGTAACTATAAATATTGATTTTATACTTGTTTGAAAGAAAGCTGCTGATTGAGACAGGATGACCACTCTGATCGGTTTTCTGGGACCACGTTCACTGGACTGTTATTACTAATCTGTAATCAAAGAGAGTGATTGACAGCTGCAGACACGTGAAGAAGAAAAAAAATTATATCTTTATTAAAGTTTGAATTCTCCTCGGGGGGGGGGGTCCGGGTCCCCTCCTCCTCCAGAATAAAGCTCCAGAGAAACAGAGCTTCATAGAGAATCCTCCTGGTTTTACGTTTCCTTCAGTATCACAGTAAAACAGGGACAGGAGCTGATCACAGATGATTTGTTATTTAAAACAGATGAGCTTGTTCTGCTTTATCTGTGTGTTTGTTGGTGTCATGTTTCCAGAATGACTGATGTTAAAATCAGAAATCAGTGTGAACGGAGCTTCAGACAGATGATTATTTATTTCATAGTTTCTTAAAAATTTTTTTAATATTGAACAGTTTGAAGCTTCATGAGTCGTCAATTAAAACTCATAAATGAATCCTGGACATGTTGTGTCGTTGCTGAGACTGGAGAGATCCACGTAAATAAGTCAGTTTCATGTTGTAATGTTAATACATTTTAATAAATGATGATAAAAGTGAGAGAAATTGTCATCAAACCTTTTTAATCAATTGTAAAACATTTTATTAACGTTGACTCAAATAGCTTTATATATAAAACTGTGGTCAGTCATTATCAGGTGTTAGCTTCACCTTAGGTCAACAGGGCTTTTACTGTGAAAATCACAGGCCAGGTTTCCATGTCCTGTTTTGGGCTAGCTTAGGTATGCTAGAGGTTAGCCTAGCATTGCTAATAGCCAGTTATGTCAATTACATATTCACTAGGTTGCCGAGGTTGGTCGAATGTCTAGCATAGCTTAGCGTGACTAATGGCGCAAAGCTCTCGTTCCCCGGCTCGTCATTGGTCAGATCAGTGGTCTTAAATTTGTCCTTCACCCTGCACCATAACTTTCAGCTGGATTTCATGGTTTTCCTGAGGGTCAGTTGTCATGGAGACAGTTCTTATTATTTGACTAGCTCCATCTGCTGATGAAAGCCATGAGATGCGGCTGAAAGCTTTTAACAAGTTTTATATATGAATTCAATGAAAATGAATGTGATGAATTTATAATAAAAGTAAACAGTTGAAGTTGATACATGAACGTTTTAATGACTATGTGACATTGAAGCACTGATTATATTCATCTGGTCTCTCCAGCCTCCTCAGTCATCATCAGTCATCTGTAGTTTTATTTTTATTGATTAATTTATGATTTTTTTTAATTTGTTTTCCTTCCTGAGACATTTGTGGATCATTAAAGAGGAATTTTCAGATCAATTTGTCTGATTGTGTTTTTTCAAAAATAGCAGTCGTTTGAGAGGCTCACCCAGATCTGAGTCAGCTCTGTGTCTTCCAGCTAGACAGAGGTGTTTGAACCAGCTCATTAAGAGACTTTGATTTCTGTGATGTTTACAAACACAGCCACGCACACACACACACCCACACACACACACACACCCACACACACAGGCAAAAGGTGTTTACAAGTCAGTGCTCATAGTGAGAGATTACGGTTCAGACTGGACAGTACAACAGTAAATACAGCAGCAGACATATAGAATTTACTTTGAGCTTTGAGCTACAGGAACTGTTCAACCTTCATAGTAGCTGATAGCAAACAGGTCTCAGGTCTCAGCAGGTGCTACTAACACAGTATCCAGACAAAAATGGACAAAGCTGATTCTTATTAGCTAATTGTACTCATTAACTCTTACCCCTTTTACTCTCAAGTATGAGAGCATGTATAAGGCAAATCAGCACTGTGTATGTGCTTGTATGTGCATGATATAGTGGTATGGATTAATTTCAGATCAACTTCTGTTAGGTCATGTACATGTGTGTACATGTCTTGCTGTGGTTGTGGGGACACATTTGTGTTTGAAACCATCAGTGTGAGGTTATTTTGTTCAGTCTTGACAGCTTCAAAAGGCTTTGACTCTTCAGACGTCACAATGTTTAAATGAGATTTAGACGTTTTTGTCCTTGACGTGTTTACAGTGAACATCAACATGTTTATTTTAATGAGTTTTAATGAAAAATGTAAAATGATTCTTCTGAAACATCTCGATCAGAAATCAATAAAGAGTCTTACCTGAATTCACTTTAAACTCTTTTATTGTCAAACAGAAAAAAACATCATCATTTAAAAATATCAAAATAATCCAGTTCATTGATCAGAAAATCTAAATAACACTGATGGTGACCGTCACCTGCTGTGATGTCATCATTTCAGAGTGAAACAGTACCCAAGTAAAACACACCTGATATTCTTTAAATCAGTCCCACAATTCTTTGTGAGTTGATGACTCGTATAACGGTGGGTCCAGGTGGTCCTCATCAAATCACAAAGTCCTGAACCAGTCATGTGATCACCTCATGTCTCACAGGTGTGTGCCTTACAGGTAAATCCACCACATGAAGGGGACAAATGAAAACATCCCTGATGCTGCATTCATGTCATGTCTGAGTTTCTGAGCTCTGATTTAATGGACGTAGTGTTTTATCAAATGTCTCATAAACATCTTCCATCACATATAACATAAATGCAGCATAGTGAAAAGACTATCCAGTTGCATCATGGGAAATGTAAGTGTGATTCTCTCCATGTCTCATAGAGCTTTAGGAAACGACTCTGGTAAAACATACATTGAGACGAGTAGCGCAAGCCTTTGGTTGATGTCTGGATCCAGTGGATTCAATTTGTTGGGTCCATGCAGAACCCCAGAACACTTAGAGTCTGGATCTGAGGCCCAGTTCAGGTTGGGTCCTCGGGACCTGTCCTGGGAACAGGTTTACCTGGGGACCTCCAACACATTATTTCATTAGCAGAAACCACTTCACTGCCTCATGTTGATCGCTGCCTCACACTCCGGATTTCCATCACACCTGCACACATCACCAGGTAGAAATCCTCCAGCAGAGACCAGAGTCCACATTCTGCTGGACTTCACCTGCTCCTCAGATCCTCCACAGGGATCACTGTCCTGGAGGTCCTGGAGTGTTAGTCCGGGAGTCTGAAGCAGCAGGGGCGTTGGCAGCTCCCTCAGGTTGTGAGTGCAGACCTGAACACCTGGACAGGTAATTATAATGATTTGAATGACAATGATTGGCAGTGCAGATCCACAATGTTTATAAGGTATTGATCCGTTGAAGATGATGTTGTGTTGTCAGTGTCGTTGTTTTTGTTGTTGTCAGTGTCATTGTTGTTTTCAGTGTTGTTGTTGTTTGTGTGGTTGTTGGTGTCAGTGTTGTTGTTGTCTTTTTCAGTGTTGTTGTTGATTTTGTTGTTGTCAGTGTCATTGTTTTTTTCAGTGTTGTCTGTGTGGTGTTGTCAATGTTGTTGTCAGTTTTGTTGTCATTGTTGTTGTCTGTGTGGTTTTGTCAGTGTTGTTGTTGTTTTTGTTGTTGTCAGTGTCATTGTTGTTTTCAGTGTTGTTGTTGTTGTCAGTTTTGTTGTTATTGTTGTTGTCGGGGTTGTTGCTGTCATTTTTGTTGTCATTGTCATTGTTGGTGTTGTCAGTGTTTTTGTCGTCAGTGTTGTTGTTGTTGTTGTCAGTGTCATTTTTGTTGTCAGTGTTGTTGTCAGTGTTTTTGTTGTTGGTGTTGTTGTTTTTGTTGTCAGTATTGTTGTTGTTGTCAGTGTTGTTGTTGTTATCAGTATTGTTGTTGTCTGTGTTGTTGTAGGTGAAGTTGTTGTTGTCAGTGTTTTTGTTGTCAGTATTATTGTTGTTGTCAGTGTTGTTGTTGTTGTTGTTGTCGGTGTGGTTGTTCTTGTTGTGACTCACGGTATCTCGCTCGGCAGAAAGCGGCTCTCCTCTCCGTCCAGGATGCCGTGGTACAGGCCGATCTCCTGCTCCAGACGCTGCTTGTTGCTTAGCAACGTGTCGTAGTCGCGCCGCTGCTGCTCAATCTCGCCACGCACGTCGGCGAGCTCCGCCTCCAGCTTGGCCACCACTGAGCCCAGATTCTGCAGTTCCATGTCATGCCAGTGGCGAGCGTCACTCAGCGAGTTCTCCAGACCTCGTTTCTGCAGGAGGACAGCGGTGAGACGGTGACATGTTTCTGATGGTAGTTATTGATCAGAGTATTGATGATGATTGATTATTGATTGTTTGCGTCTCTCACCAACGCTCGGATGGACTCAGTCTCGGCCTGCAGACTCTGGATCTTGCAGCCTGTGTCGTTACACTCGGCCTTCAGCGCCTCTACCTGCTCCTCTTCCGGACTCAGTCTGCTGCTCATACACTGCGCCTCCTACAGGACACACATACACACCTGTGAGGACATCTGCGAGGACACCTGCGAAGACACCTGCGAGGACACCTGTGCAGGTAAGAAGACCTCACCTTACACTCCAGCTGATAGTTGTCGGTCTCGGCTCGGTTCTTCTCCGTCACCTTCTCCCAGTGGCTCCTGATGTAGGCCAGGATTTGGTCCAGACTGGTCTCTATGGGAGCGTCAGGTTCGTCCACCTCGCGTCCCGCCATCTGACTGTAGAGGACTCGGACGTCCTGGGCGCACAGACAGGTCACATGACCTCAGCATTAAACGAAGATCATGGATTATTAACAACTTATTAACAATAATCTTCAGATGATGAGATGATCATTTTTAAACAGAATAAAAACATTATCTTCAGTTTTAAATTCATTATAAATTCAACAAAGGCTTCAATGAGATGTTATTAATTAGTAAATAAAATTATCTTTTTATCTGTTTGTTGATTTATAATATTTATAATATTTATCTTAAAATTCAGTTATTAATGAATCATTTAGAGACAATAATAAAAGTTTCTCATTGTTGTTATGAAGTAACATTAAAAGCTCCGCCCCTCCTGTCTATGCTGTTTACTGCTGACCAAAAACTTGGTGAGGTGTTTACAGTCTCCTGTTAAACACAGTGATGGGACCTGCTCATGGTTGTGCTCCAGGTGACGTAGCTCGGCTTTCATGTTCTCCATCTGCTCCTCGAGCTCCGCCTTCGTCAGGTTGGCGTCGTCAATGACTTTGTACAGAGAGCTGATCTCCTCCTCCACCGCCTTCCTGAACGGCTGCTCGTTCTCGTACCTGCAGGAGGAAGGT